TCGTTTCTGGACTCGAGAGTAAAAGCACGCTGACACCTTCATGTGTATAGTAGTTTTAAGTATGTTTCAAGTGTGAAGGTATCATCTGCTAAAAAAAATAATTCTGTAGCGCCGGCAATACTGCACACGGCTGCGAGGGATAGGGGATGGTGTCTGTCCTGGACGTAACGCTGGAGGCGGAGAAGGGGCCGTGAAGGGGGCGGAGGGGGCGGAGGGGGGCGGAAGGGGGGCGGAAGGGGGGCAGAATGGTTTCGGCGGCCCCACCTCCACCCTTCCAGGTGAGGTATACGCGGCCCAGGGCGCCGCCTGGCCTGGCCCCGCCCCTCCCCGACGTCAGGCTGCGGTCTGGCGCTCGGTCTGGCGGCACGGATAGTCCCCGACTCCTCCGAGATGTACGAGACAGTGGCGGAGGGGAATAAAATGATGGGAGGCGAAGCGGGGCGCGCGGACACGCTCTAAGCTCAAAAAGCGTCAGAATTTTGGCCGCCTCCACGGTCTTCTGGCCCACTGTGCGACGCCCGTCGGAGTACTCACCCGCCCTCCGCTCGCGTGCCTCCAGTTCGAACGCCGCAAAAAGTGACGTACCCGGTGCGGCACTGCCGTGGCAGGGCTTTGGGGCCTTCCACTCGGAGTAAAAGCAAACGTCGCGAGAGAGCGAGCGCAGTCCCTTCAAAGGCGAGACCTTCCGAGACGACAGTCCTACGGGACCGAAAGGACCTAAAGGACCTAAAGGACCTAAAGGACCTAAAGGACCTAAAGGACCTAAAGGACCTAAAGGACCTAAAGGACCTAAAGGACCTAAAGGACCTAAAGGACCTAAAGACCTAAAGGACCTAAAGGACCTAAAGGACCTAAAGGACCTAAAGGACCTAAAGGACCTAAAGGACCTAAAGGACCTAAAGGACCTAAAGGACCTAAAGGGCTCCGAGAGCCTGGTCTAGTCAATGCGGACCCCGGCAGTGGCAGGCAAGGCGAGGCAAAGAGGCTGGCCCGCCGCCGCAGCGGAGTTACCTCCAAGGTAGCCGACTCGGTGATTCCGCGCGGTGGATGCCGTCGCTCTGTCTCGCTCGCACTCAGGGAGCGTCCCGCACCAGCGCGCGGGAGGGACAGAGACAGAGAGAGACAGCCTTTGGCGGCGAATGTGAGTGCGGCTTTCAGATGGGGCGGTACTGGAGCGCCTGCACTGGAGGCAGCCATGTGATGAATGGAGAAGACTCCGCGAAAGGATATCGGCGTGTCTGTCTGTCTGTCTGCCCGTATCCGTCCGCTCGCCCGCGTCTGTCAGCCTGTCAGGATGCCAGTTCGTCGACACGCACGCCAAGTCAGCGCGGTGCCGTAACTGTGTGTGTATTGACTGATTCAGTCCCACGCCACAGACCCCAGCATCATTTCTCTCTCTCTCTTTTATTTTCGTTCCGTTATCCTGTGGCACTGTCAAAATTTCGGTTGTCACTTGATGATAACTTGGAAGCAGACTTTTCTCGCAAGAATGTCATCAACCCTGTTGATAACCTAACCTAACCAACCTAACCTAACCTAATCAACCCTGTTGATGACATTAGTTACAGCGCAAAAAGCTTTAGCAATATTTTTTGTAAAAATGTCATTTTTTTTAAGTGATAAAAAGGTCATGGAAGATTCTGTGACGAGGCGTTTTGACAGTGCGGTTGCTGGGCGCGGCGGAATCGGTGCTCTCGACGGCGCGGTTTGCGACACACGCCCACAATGCAGCGGTGCAGCGGCGCGGGGCATCGAACCCTTAGTGCCCTTCAGCCTAGAGTCGAGAGGAAGCGGGAAAAAAGAAGGGGAAAGAAGGGGAAAAGGAAGCGAGAAAAAGGGAGCGTTGCCTTTCAGAGCAATGTATCGGGCTGCTTGGCCCGGCTCGGGCCATAGTGGAGGCTCTGCGGCCACAGCACTTCGGCACTTCGGCACGCCATCCTGCTACACCGTCGGAAACGATTGCAGTGCCGCGGCACACGGTGGGCCAGAAGACCGGTGGAGGCGGTCAAAATCCCGGACGCGTTTCGAGCTCCAGAGTCGCTAAATGGGACTCGAACCGGCCGTGTGACCCCACAAATGGATTGCTCTCCGAACGAGGAATCCATTGGTGGGATCACACGCTCGGTTGGGGTCCCGTTTAGCGACTCTGGAGCTCAAAACGCGTCTAGAGTTTTCGCCGCCTGGGCCGGTCTTCTGGCCCACTGTGCGCCGCCGCCCCCGGAAAGCCAGCGGGAAATTGTTTCAATTAGAAAATCGATGTGAATAAAACGGCGGATTGTGCGGCCGGGCCGGGCGGGGCCGTGATTCCGTGATTCGGTCCAGGTGCGTGCGTGCGGGAAGTCATTTGTGTGCGGGTAATCCTTTTGTGCGGGGGCGCGCCGCAGCGCTGCGGGCCAACGGGGCCACGGCAACCCCACTGGGAGGAGAAGCGCCTGGTGGTGGCGAGTTGAAACGGAAAGATTCATGCAATGAATGTTTGAGGCGACGCCTGGCGGTGCGATGCTCCCCGCAGCGTAGCACCGCGCAGCACCGCGCCTTCTCGCTGGCGCCCTGTTTCCCAATCGCCGGGTTACACCGCCAGCAGCCAACGAAAAACGCTGTCTGCACACTGGCGAACAGTGAAGCACACTACTCGTTTCACTCTTTGTCTTTAGCGTGCTGGCGCTGATACACTGCATGCGTTTACCTTTCCCCACGTGCTGTGTGTGCTTCCATGTGCGAGAGAGAGGGGGGGGGAGGCTGCCACCGCACCGGATGAGGTATGGCCGGAGTGAAGTTGACACAAGACCGATGCGACAGCCGGCAGTACGACAGGCGGTACGTACCGAGAGGACTTGGCCTGGGATTTCGCCTTGCCTGCCAGGCAGGAGCTCAGCGAGGCCAAGTTTTGCACGGCCGAGTCTGACTGCACACGGCCCGGCGGCCCGGTGCACAGTGGGCCAGAAGACCGGTGGAGGAGACCAAAACTCTAGACGCGGTTTGAGCTGCAAAGTCACTAAACAGGGCTCGAACCGAACGTGTGACCCCACCAATGGATTCCTCGTTCGGAGAGCAATCCATTGGTGGGGTCACACGGTCGGTTCGAGTCCCATTCAGTGACTCTGGAGCTCAAAACGCGTCTAGAGTTTTGGCCGCCTCCACCGGTGTTCTGGCCCACTGTGCGGCGGCCCGGCAGCGTGGAGCAGTGTGGCCACCTCATGAATAACTGGCGCGTGTGAAATGCAAAGCCAACAGTGCGTTGTAGTGGCGGCGCTGCAGCGGCAGTGCGACCCACTATGCTAAACGGCACTCCGGCGGCCGGCCGGCCCCGGAACCGTTCCACCGACACGGTTACAACCGCAACTTTCCGTGAGGGGAAAAAAAATCGGAAATCCGAACGAATGTGTGCCTCTCCCATTCCCGCCAGAAACTTTCCTTTTCTTGCCTTGTCTTAACGAACTTGTTGCGCGGCAAGGCCAAGAAGAGATATTTTTTTACTCCGCGCGGTTGTTGTCCCAAAACCAACAGACAAACTTTCACTTTCAGCTCCCATTTTTAACCCCCAGTGTGCGTGCAAGGAGGGAGAGAGAAAAAGACTGAAACTGGAGCGTTAATACCACGGAACGTCACAACAAAGCAGCGTCATAACAACAATAGTAATAATAGTAATAATAGTAACAATAATAATACTAAGGCGAATAAAGGGGTTAATCAAGGTGATAACAGTGTGATGGAGCCGGCGCTGCGTTATTAAGGAGAGCTAAGACGCCCCGCCCCGCCCCGCCCCTCCTCCGCTGTCGTTCCTTTTCATCTCTGTGACCTTTACTTTGCTTCCCTCCTCCTCCTTGAAAGTCATCATCTCCCGCACGCACCCCGCCAGGCCCGCCGGCCCGCCAACCCCGCCAGGTAGGCGCCCGCCCTCCCTCCTCGGACCGGCGTTTGCTTTTAACCAACTTTAAAAGAAATAATTGTGTTGCCGGCTGGGCTGGCTCACCGTGCCGTGCCGTGCCGTGCCGTGCCGACGAGCTTGGCACCATCCCTTCATCTCGCTTCACTTAAAATGACCCGGCCGGCCTCCCCGCGTCCGCACCCCGCCGCACCCCGCCGCACCCCGCCGCACCCCGACGACGGGGCCCTGGCTGGTCCCGCTTGTTCCGCGTTCCGCCTCGCCCTCAAGCTGCCGAAATAGGCCAGTTTGCTCTTTACGACCGACTTGCCGCCCGCCCCGCCCCGCCCCGCCCCGCCCCACCCCGCTACACCTTCCGTTGTGTTGAGCCACTCATTTCGCCGTCCCGCCAACACATTTTTTTTTTAATTTCTGCAACCTCGGTAGTTTTATAGCAGTTTTATTTTTGATTCTCCTGCGCCAGGTTAGGCGTGCGTAGTTTTGGAAAAGTGTAGGCCGAATAGGAATTTGTTGTCGGTCGGATAGTGCGTGCGTGACGGCTCTCCGGACGGCTCTCACAACCAGCGCACGTACGTCCCGCATCTTCAATATCTACCCCGCTTCCGGCCCCTCCACTGTACACACACACACACACACACACACACACACACACACACACATGCGCACACACACACGCATATACGCACGGCCCCCCTCCCCCCAGGAACCCAACCCTACACCCATTCCACTCCCGTATTGCTGCGTCCCGTGCCTGCAGTCGGGTTGAGTTGTTTGCAGCACACATACACACACATATACAGACACAATCGCCATATAGGACTCATACTCACACAGACACACAGCCGTCGCCGGCGGACGTCATAACTACAAGCCTCGGCGAAACATGAAACATTAAAAACCCCGTCCGCGGCGTCCTCCTGGCATGTTCCTGGCATGTTCCTGGCAGGCTCCTGGCCGCCGCGGCCGCCAGCCAGGTCGAGGCCTTGCGGCTCTGCGGACCCTGCGCCGCGCCGCGCGCATCGGTCGTGAATTTTTCATACGCCGCCACAATTAAGCTGCGACACTTTCTCCTACTTCTTTGTTGTTGTTGCTGCTGCTGCTGGCGGTGGACCCAATGCGTGTTGTTGTCACTGCATCCGTGGACCCGATGCATGTTGTTGTTGTTGGCCGCTGGTTACTGCAACGCGTTGTTTTTGTTGTTGTTGCAGGTTGGCCTCCGCGCCTGCCCGCGGCGCTGGGCGCGCTGGCCGCGGTGCTGGCCGTGGTGGCCGTGCCGCTGGTGCCGCTGGCATCCGCGCTGGCCGTGCTGCCCCCCACGCCCGCCTGCCGCCTCTCCGAGTACTTCTGCGACAACGGCCGCTGCGTCCCGCTCAACCGCTACTGCGACGCGGCCAACGACTGCGGCGATGCGTCGGACGAGCCCCGCGGCTGCACGCGTAAGTGGACTGACACGCGGACCCGATGGTCCCGGGTTCGAACCCACCCGCCGGACTGTATTTATTTTTCCTCCGGGAAGTCACAAAAGTGCGAGAGAGAGACACCGACTGCCAGTCGGCACCGGAGTAGCCGGGAGTGCCCGAAATGGCATACGATCATGTGTGGTCTAGCCCTTAATGAGAATGGTAAAGGAGCGCCGGACGGATCGAGGGTAGGCAACGGGCTCGCAGTGCCACGTGGCGGGACTGCCTACCCTGGACTCGACAGGCGCTTGGAGGCGCGGTCGGCGCCACAGTGGGCCAGAAGACCGGTGGAGGCGGCCAAAACTCTAGACACGTTTTGAGCTCCAGAGTCGCTAAACAGGGCTCGAACCGAGCGTGTGACCCCATCAATGGGTTCCTCGTTCGGAGAGCAATCCATTGGTGGGGTCACATGTTCGGTTCGAGTCCCATTTAGCGACTCTGGAGCTCAAAACGCGTCTGGAGTTTTGGCCGCCTCCACCGGTCTTCTGGCCCACTGTGGGCGCGGTCAGGGCTGCTCATCCGCGTGTCCACGTCGTGTCCGCGGACCTCCGCTGCCGTTGCGTTGCGCGTGTGGTGTAGGCAGCATAAGGGGGCCCAAGCCTCCAGGGACGGCCGGGCAGTGCCGGGCCCTCGTTCCGTGCCTACCGCCACGCAGGGGAAATCAAAACCACGGCTCCACACGACTCTGGGTACTGACGCGCTGACCTCTGACACACTGACGTGCGGACAGCCCGGCGTCGCGTTCCAGCGTGCCGATGTCAGCGTCAGTCCGTCGGCCGGACGACCGGCCCGCCCGGCCTGCACGGCCTGCACACAGCCGCCAGGCAAGAGCGCGCACTTTCAAGAAAACAACACCCGGAAACCGGGGAAGAAAAAAGAAAGGAAAATAAACAAGACGGCATTTCCCCGCGGCGCGCGCGGAAAAGAAGCGTTATTTTCGCTACCGCGCCTTCCCTAGTTATTTTTTATTTTCTTCTTCTTCTGCGCACTGCTTCGCACCCCATCCCGCCGCGGCCTCGCACGTAAATCTTGCACGACCCGCGCGCTGCGGCGCTGCGGCGTGGGCTGCGTTGGGCAGGGCGCCGAGGTGCCCCCCCTCCCCCTCTCCACCATCCCATTACAGACCGGCACCTTTTGCCACGCCAACTGACCAAAAAAGTTTGGATTGGGTTGGCAGCGATAGGTGCGGTGGCAACCTAGCGCCGCTCCCTCCTGCCTCCCCCCTCCCCCTCCCCTCAGGCGCATCCCCCCCCCCTCCCCCAAGACCACGGCCGTCCGAACAAAACGAGCGTTCAACTCGGCACCGCGGCCGGGTCCGGAGAGGGGAAGGGGGAGGGGTTATCGACGTACGACCTAATTTTCGCGCCTCTCACTCTGCCGCGGCGATACTCTCAGTGTTTCTCTCTCCCCGTTCCCCTTCAATAAGTACGACTGCCGTCTCGCGACGAAAAGGCGTTGCCGAAAAAGGGATTCGCATTCCGCGCGGCGGTAGCGGTTTTTTTTTTTTACTTTTCCCTTTTTGTCGCGAGTTTTCTTTTTTCCTCCTCCCGCGTTTGCAGAGAAACACATTGTGCCGAGCCAAAGGGAGTACTCCTGCCAGGCCGGCGGTGCAGCAGGCGGGCCTGCGCCGCGACGCCGCGACGCCGCGCGGGACGGATTCCCTTGATTATCATCAACAGCTTCACTGTCAGCGCCACGCCACAGACGCGACCCCCTCCCCCTTCAATCTCGCACGCCTCCATACTATTTTCTTTTTCGTTCTCATCCAAACGGACCCATCACGGCGCGGCTCGACAGCGGGCGACGCGGCGCCCCGTTTTCGGAAATAAGAATGCGATTGCCGCCCCTCCCCGCCCCTGTCCCTGCCCACCCGACGCCACCCGCCTGGGGCCTAAGAAAACGCTTTTGGCCTCAAGAAATGCTTTTGGCCTCAAGAAATGCTTTTGGCCTCAAGAAATGCTTTTGGCCTCAAGAAATGACTGTGGCCTCAAGAAATGCTTGTGGCCTCAAGAAAGACTCTATATGGTCTCAAAAAATGCTTTCAGCCTCATAAAAAAAAACCCTGAGCCTGAAGATTCCCCTCAAGCAATGCTCTTTGTCTAAAAATACTTGACCCCAGGCACAAACTCGAAGACAAAAAAAAACTTTTCACGCTCCAGCAAAGACGTTCAAAACGTTGTCGTTTTTTTTATGTTAATTTTTTGCTCGCTGCGGCGAGGCGGGCCGAGACGTACGCATGTCAGGCCCTTTGGACGCTAGTCGCGTCGTGGCAGCTTCCCTCTGGCCGCGCCGGCCGGGGTCCTTTTCATTCGTTCATCCCTTTGTATGAAGGGCGGACGCACGGCCCCGCATCGCGCACCTGCTCCCCGCCCGTCCCAGCAGAGCCGGCAGGGCCGAGCACAGTGCGCATGGTGCTCAACAAAAGTTGGACCGGGCGCCTCTGCGCGCTGCACAGTGGGCCAGAAGACCCGTGGAGGCGGCCAAAACTCTAGACGCGTTTTGAGCTCCAGAGTCGCTAAATGGGACTGGAACCGAACGTGTGACCCCACCAATGGATTGCTCTCCGAACGAGGAATCCATTGGTGGGGTCACACGTTCGGTGCGAGCCCTCCTTAGCGACTCTGGAGCTCAAAACGCGTCCGGTATTTTGACCGCCTCCACCGGTCTTCTGGCCCACTACACGCTGCGCGGCGGGCGGCACGTCCGACGTCCGTGGAGGTCCCCCCCCCCCTCTCTCTTTCAGCGTGCCAGCTCCGACACTGGGAAAGGAATGTGGAGGACTGCGATCGTGTCCGCGAGGGTCCTCGTCGAGGTCCTCGTCGGCATTCCCGCAGGCTGATTCCGCCGCCCACACAGCGAATCCGTCGCGCCGTCTCTCTCGCACTCGCGGCCCGGCCCCACCGCGGTGCGAGAGAGACGGCGCGAGGAGAGCTCGGATTCAATGACGGACGCCTCGTTGTGGAGAGCCTGAGGGCCAGAGGGAGGGACGGAGGCGGAGACAGTAGTCCGGGGAAGGAGAGGCCGCCGCCAACTTTTCCACCGAGTTGACGCGGGCGAACGATGATGACGACGATGATGCTGTTGTTCTTCTTTCTTCGCCGGCAGCACTGCCAGTGACGGCCTCTCTGTTCCAGCGTGCAACCGGACGTACTACGGCACGGTGGGCAGGACCTACTCCCTGGAGCTGCACCGGCCCAAGGAGGACCGCCTGCCCTTCCTGTGCCACCTCACCTTCACGGCGGGCGGCGGCGAGCTCGGCGACCTGGTCCAGGTGAGCAACGGTGTTTCGTTTTACGGTTTTACGGTGGCACGACCGCGGCGGCCCACACTGCACAGTGGGCCAGAAGACCGGTGGAGGCGGGGGGAGGTGGGGACGTGTGACCCCACCAATGGATTGCTCTCCGAACGAGGAATCCATTGGTGGGGTCACACGCTCGGTTCGAGTCCCATTTAGCGACTCTGGAGCTCAAAACGCCTCTAGAATTTTGGCCGCCTCCACCGGTCTTCTGGCCCACTGTGCACTGCGTCCACGGTGAGGCGCCGAAAGCGACTCTCGGAATCGGTCCACAGGCCGAGCGCCTGCGGTCCGCAGGGTAGGCAACGCGACGGCGTGCGTGTGCAACAGGTTGCCTACCCCGCAGTCCACAGGCGCTCCGTTTAATTCGGCGAAGGCCTCCCCGCCGCGGTCCGCGTGCCGCACGCTGCGCGTCACCAAATCACCACGCCTCGCTGCGCTTCACTCCGAGGCGTCATCTAGGACTTTTACTGCCGCTTTGTCCATCGCGGCCTCCATATTTGGGCCGGAACGCCTCGTGAGCGAGGCGGGGTGGGGCGGGGTGGGGCGGGGTGGGGCGGGGTGGGGCGGGGTGGGGGTGGGCTTCAAACTTGTAAACTCGACGCTTTATTGCCGCAGTCTGCCGCCCGTGTCCATGCTGCTGGAGCTGCTGGAGCCGCGAATATGAGGCTCGCGCTGCCTCAAGGCGGGGCGGGGCGGGGCGGGGTGGGATTTCCATCGGGCTGGCTGAAACTTACTCGAGGCGCATATTCCGATTCAATGGACAAGTTTGCGAGGGCGATAGGCGCGAAGCAGCGGGGGGCCTTCGGGGTGTAGGAGGAGGGAGGGGGGGAGGAAGAGGAGAATACGCGCGTCTGAGCGGTTCGTGGATCGTGAAGGGGGAGGGGGTGCACCGGAAACAGCAAGGCAGGGCTGCCAACTGAACTGACTATTCCGACAAAGGGACCGCCACCTGCTGGGATGAGGCCATGTGGGTGCGGGCCGTGATGGCACGGCGGCACGGCACTGTGCTGACCCCTCCGGCCCGTCTGTCTCTCTCACTCTCTTCCTCCCCCTCCCCCTCCTGCATCTGTATTCCGTCCGGCCGCGCACGCTTCAATCACCTACCGAGCGCGCCATAAAAGTAAAGGAGAATTGGACGGGTCGCGTCGCCGATGAAGCGCCCCGCCGGAGAGGTGTCTCTCTCGCACTCACGCGCGCCGGGCGCCCCGGTCGAGTGCGAGAGAGACAGAGCGGCGTGACTCTCGGAATCAGCCTGCCGCCGCTCCGCCGCACAGTGGGCCAGAAGGCCGCCGCCGGCGGCCAAAACTCTAGACGCGTTTTGAGCTCCAGAGCCGCTACACGGGACTCGAATCGAACGTGTGACCCCACCAATGGATTCCTCGTTCGGAGAGCAACCCATTGGTGGGGTCACACGTTCGCTTCGAGTCCCATTTGGCAACTCTGGAGCTCAAAACGTGTCTAAAGCTTTGGCCGCCTCCACCGGTCTTCTGGCCCACTGTGCGCCGCCGCCTGGCCGCATCGCCGTGTGTTGGTGTTCCCGTGACGCCCGGCCGTCCCGGCTTTCGGCTTGTCCGGAGCAGTCTGCCGCCAGCTCGGTCGGCCCGGCGTGGCCCGGCAGGCCTCGCCCCGCCGAGCAGCCAGCCAGCCAGCAAGACCAATCTCCCCGGCCCCGCCCCGCCCCGCCCCCCGCCCCGCCCCGCCCCGCCCCGCCCCGCCCCACTGCGCTGCCGAGGCTGCCGCGCGTCCTTTGGTCACAGCTGGATCCGAGAATACAACCTCAGGGCAAAGGGCTGCGCCATGGCTGTGCTGTCCGGACAGAAATGGGAGGGAGGGCTCAGTCACAATGTAGGGCATCAGTGCCACGGGGCCCCGTCGGGGCGCCGCCCCGGCTCTGGCCCTCCGCCTCTGCGTCCCCGGGGAATCCCCCTGGACCCCAAGTCCCCCGCAGCGCGGCAGGGCGGCCACCACGACGGTCGGGTCGGAGCGGAACGGCCCAAAGTCAACTCGAAATAACACATGGCTCGCCGACTTCCCCCTTATCGACCTTATCGCGCAACAACTTCGCCGACGACTTCTTTCTCATGCGGTGCGGGATTCGAGAAGCACAACATCACAGTCCTCTCCTCCTCGTCCTCCTCGTTTCCCTTGTGCAACCGGTTCCTTCCTTCCGCGGAAACGGAAATGATTTGTGCGGGACACTGATTTATCCACTGGCTGTCGCCGTCATCGCGTCGGACGCACGCCGGCCGATTAATCAAGCGGAGGGGCGGGGCGGGGCGGGGTGGCCGACTGATGGCCATCAGCCACCGCATCAGCCTCAGACGCCTTTCCAAGCAGCCGCCCGAAAGTTGGACGCGCACGATCAACAAAAATAGGGCTGAGGTTTTTCTTGTTGTTGTCGACGATGTTTCTGGCCCTGCAACGCAGCAGGCTGGAGCGGGGGGGGGGGGGGGGGGGAGCAGCAGGAAAGAGTAGAGAGTGCGAGGTTGCCGACTGACCGACTTGAGAGCAGAGACGAGTTCCGAGGCACTGGCGAGGCACTGCACTGCCCGGCACTCGGCTCTTGGCTCCCAATAGTTCCTGCTATCGATGGGCCCCTTTTTTGTTTCGAGAGCAGAAAGGGGTTGGGGTGGGGGGCATCCGCTCCTTGGCTAACAGCCTGCCTACCCCACGCCCCGCCCACGCCCCGCAACCCCAGCACGCCCCTGCAGCAGCGAGGCAAAAGTTACGGCGGCGGCGGAAAGACACAGAGTGTGGCAAACTCTGTCGTCGCTTTTATTTGACTGCGCGACTCAATCGCATGTTCTGTCCAGACGAAATTCGCCGTCAACTTTCTGAAGCCATTGCTGCTGGCCGTTCCTAGACTGTTAATCGTTCCAGTGTGGCGGCGGAGCGGCGGAGCACGGCGTCAAAGTAGCGAGATGAAGACGAGCGTCGTGTGACTCGAGGCGACGCCACTCCACGGCCCTGTTTCCCCGAGGCTTAACTGACGCCGCCAAAGTTGAGCGAAACTCAAACGCGTGCCGCGGCGCCGCGGCCTGGGCGTGGCCCGGGCCTGTTCTGCGGAGCCGGCGGCCCAAAATTTGAGTCCACCCTGCCCGGGCCGGCCCTACACAGTGGGCCAGAAGACTGGCGCGAGCGGCCAAGACTCTTGACGCGATTTGAGTTGCAGAGTCGCTAAACATAACGCGAACCGAGCGTGTGACCCCACCAATGGATTCCTCGTTCGGAGAGAAATCCATTGGTGGGGTCACACTCTCGGTTCGAGTCCCACTTAGTGACTCTGGAGCTCAAAACGCGTCTAGAGTTTTGGCCGCCTCCACCGCGGTCCTCTGGCCCACTGTGCCCTACTCTGCCGCCGCCGTCAACCAAGGCGACTGCGCTAGGACGGCAACAACTTGGCGCGCCCCTCCCCTCCGCCTTTGCGATCGACTGGACCGAGTCGCACCGACAACAGCACCGCCCAGGAGTGATTTCCCTCCCCTCCCCTCCCCCCTCCCCTCCCTCTCCGTCCCTTCCGAGCCATTTGGCGACTAATGAAGGGCAAAACAGCGGCACCGCGTGGCCGTGCCGTGGTCCGCGCTAAAACTACCCCACTTGCCCGACAAAAGCCCGCGCCACGCGTAGTATTGCTGCGCCCAGCGGGAGGCAAAAAAAGAGAGAGTGGGTCGAGAAAAAGGGCTTATTTGTCCGCGCGTGTTAGCGGCGCCGCCACGGCGTGCACGCAGACCGACTCGACTCCAAGTGCTTGTTCCTTTGGAGCCGCGTAGCGGGGCGGCGGCGGCGGGGTTCAGTGGGCCAGAAGACCAGTGGAGGCGGACAAAACTCTAGACGCGTTTTGAGCTCCAGAGTCGCTTAACAGGCCTCGAACCGAACGTGTGACCCCACCAATGGATTCCTCGTTCGGAGAGCAATCCATTGGTGGGGTCAAACGGTCGGTTCGAGTCCCGAGTAGCGACTATGGAGCTCAAAACGCGTCTAGAGTTTTGTCCGCCTCCACCGGTCTTCTGGCCCACCGTGGGGCGGCGTCCACGGACCACGTCTTTTTGCCCCTTTTGTTCGTGCCGCTGCCGCGCAGGTAAAGTTTGGCCGCGGTGCGCAGAGGTTAGAGTTTGGCCGCTGTCCTCGCCGTCCTCACGCCACGGCCCGCCGCGCCCCCTCCGAGTGCTCCGAGTCTGCAAGTCTCGCTGATAAAAAGACAAAAGAACTGGAAGGCGGTGGCGACGGTGACTACACTGGCGAGGCGGTGCTGCCCAGACGGTCGCCGAGGAAGCGCCTATGGGCTCCGAAGAGTGTGCCGTCGGTCTGTTTCTCTCTCTCGCTCTCATGGGGCGGCCCGTTGGGTGCGAGAGAGACTTCTCGGCATCGCTCGGCCGTCGGCGAGGGCGGGCCGAGCGGCGGCAGTCTTGTCGGAGAAATAAAGATCTGGAGGCGCGCCGGGGTTGTTGTGGCGCCACGATGAATGGTCCTGTTTTCGGGTTGGCGGGAGTCCGACGGGAGTCTCTGGGAAGTGAGACACGTGGCCCAGCCCAGAATGGCGTGCCGCCGTGGCCGCGGGGTAGAGTGGCTGCGCGCGGGCGGCGGGACGTGGGTTCAACCCCATTCCTTCTTCTTCTTTTTCTCTCAATTCTAATGACCTGAACTTTGGCGTGACTCGCAGCTGACGTTCGAGTCGTTCACGGTGGGCCGCTTCACGTCCTTCACGACGGACGGCTGCCCGGACGGCTCCATGGCCATCAGCGAGTCGGGGCGGCCGACGGCGGGCGGCGCGTGGTGCGGGCCTGCCTGGGGCCCGGCCGTCTACTTCTCCGAGACGCGGTCGCTGCTCGTGACGGTCAAGCTGCAGCGCCTGCACAAGGACTCCTCCGGGTACAACTTCGACTTCCGGCTGGGCTACCGCCTGCTGCCGCGCGACAGGGCCGTGGTCCGCTACGGCGGCAAGGTGCCAGGTAAGCCGTCACGCTGTGGTTAAAGTCAAGTTTGCGCCTCGGCGGGATTCGAACCACGGTCTGTTCCTCCGCAGAGAACGCGTTCTGGCCGCCACTGCCGGGCTCCAATATGACGTCGCGGATCGACAACACCATCCCGGGCATGGGCGGCATCATCGGCGCCGAGTCCACGCCGGAGCCGCCGCCGCCGCCGCTGCCGCCACACCTGTCGGGCATCCCGCCGGCGCAGGGCCCCGGCAACCCCTGGTGGGGCATGGGCGTGGGCGCGACCAACGGCGGAGGCGGCAGCGGCCGTCCGGACGAGCACTACCTGGGCGACCTGATCGCGGGCACGTACTGCTCCAGGCTGTTCTCGGACTGCGACCGCAAGCCGTGCCGCCTGCAGTCGCCCAACTTCCCCGGCGTGTACCCGCGCAACCTGACGTGCTACTACGCGGTGCGGCAGCACGAGGTGCCGGCCGGCATGCACGCGCTGGTGACCGTGTCGCAGCCCGACGGCCAGCTCACGGCCGTGCGCAGCACCGGGCCGGCGGGGGCGTCGTCGCGGTCCAGCGCCACGCGCGGCCCCACGCGCGGCCTGCGGGTGTGGCAAGAGTGCGACGAGGTGCAGGACTACGTGACGGTGTACGACGGCTACACGACGCGCGACCCGGTGCTGCTGCGCTTCTGCGGCGGCGGCGAGCCCGTGCCGCCTGTCACGTCGTCGGGCCCCGAGCTGCTCGTCGAGTTCTCCACGTCGGCCTTCGGTTGCCTGGAGCAGCCCGGGCCGCTGCAGCCTCTCCACGGCTTCCAGCTCGAGGTGCAGGTGCAGTTCGTGGACGCGCGCTCGCCGCAGTACTCCAAGGGCAAGCGCTGCGAGCTGTGGGTGCGCGGCGCGGGCCGCGGCCTGCTGGAGTCGCCGCGCCACTCGCTGCCCAGGAACGCCACGTGCCTGTTCCACCTGCAGGGCGTGGCGCTGCCCGAGGACGACCCGCCCTCCGCGCACGAGCCGCCCGCCCGGTTCCAGCCCGCGCCCTGGAGGTCCAACGCCGCCCTGCCGCCGCCCAGGTAAGTGTGTCGAGCTGCGCTGTCGGCAACGACGTGCTGCTGTGTGCCCTCGGCGGCTTTCAGCCTCGGCCTTTCACGCGGCGGACCCCGTCGGGGCCGCTCCGCTCCGCGCTCCGCTCCGGGCCTGCTGCAGTGCGGCGGGGCGCGGTGGGGCGGCCAAAGTGTCCCCGAGCGCCCGACTCCGGGACGTCCCAGGCCGCGTCAAGTGTCGCCATGGTGTCGCGCTGCCATGCTACGCCGCTCCGCCGCTACGCGTCCCCGCCGGAGGTCGGCCGTCCCCTTTTCCTTTCCCCGATTTTATTCCACTTCTCTCGGGGAGGCAGCCCCGCGTTTTTACGAACTGTTTGAGGTTTTGCGCCTTTGCGTAATCCCTGGGGCGGCCAAACGCCACGCCGGGCCGCGCCACGCCACGCCCGCCCCGCCGGGACCCCGGCAAGCCCACCTGTACGCCTGTCCCGCCGAGTCCTCGCCGCCCCTACGCATAAAGGTATTGGGCCAATGAATAAAATATGAGCGGCGTCCCCGCTGGTCCCCGCGTAGCGTAGCGTGTCGTTTATCACTGTCGTCTAACCTAACCTCATTCATCTCCCTCATATCTCCGTCCTCCGGCCTCCCGGCTCGGGATTTGCCGCAGCCACATTTATTTATTATTTTGTGTATTTTATCGTCGGCCCCATCCCGGCCGTATCGATCTCTCGAAGCAAGACTCGAGGGCGCGTTGTAAAGAGATTCGTGCTGCAGGTTCCGCGTCTGGCTGTCCGTGCTCAAGTTCCACGTGACCACGGGGCTGGACGCCTCGCCCACCACCCAGGTGCGGATGGAGGAGAGCTGCGCGTCGCAGCTGCGCGTCTGGGACGGCTCCGCGCCCCTCAAGTGAGTCCGGGCGCCTCCGGCAGCCTCTGGCTTCTGGCGCCGCTAATGCCTGTCGAGCAGCGTCTCCGGTTGGGGGCCGTCGTCTGAGTCAGGGGATCGTGCGTCAGTCCGCTGACTGATTCCGAGGGGTCTTTCCGTCGCTGCGTCTCTGTCGCACTGCTGGGCGTCCAGCCGGAGTGCGAGGGAGACGGAGCGACGGAGCGACCCCTCGCCCAGGCAGGCGGAAGACTCCCCATCCTTCACCGTCTTCAGCGTCTGCCATATCAGATGACTGCCCCCAGCCTCAGCCATGCATGCTCGACTCGTGTTCGACGAAAGTCACCCTGCTACACTACACTGTAAGCCTCCTCGACGTTCGTCCCTGACTGACTGGCTTCCGCAGCTCGGACGGGTCGCCGGTGCCGTCGTCGCTGGGCAACACGTCGCTGCTGGCGCGCTACTGCAAGGACCGCGTGCCGCGGTCGTGCGACCACGGCCTGCTGACGGCGCCGTCGACGCTCCGCGACGCCACGACGCCGCCGCCGTACCCGCCCACGCCCGCGTCCTTCCCCTGGGACTCGGCCACCACCGCCTCGGCCAGCAACCGGTCGGCGGCGCGCGGCCCGCGGCCGTGCTCGCTGGCCGAGAGCTTCCTGAGCTCGGGCGACGCGCTCACGCTGGAGCTGCGCACCGTCGAGTCCACGGCGCTGCGGCCCGTGTCGTTCCGCGCGCTCTACGAGTTCGTGGACCTGCACCAGGACGGCCTGCCGTACCCGGAGGCGCCGGGGCCGTGCTCGCGGCGCTTCATCGTGCCGGGCATGCTGCAGCCGCAGACCTTCCAGTCGCCCAGGGACGTGTTCCTGTTCGGCCGCGGCGGCGCCGCCAACCTCAGGTAGCGTAGTGGTCAGCGCGCCTGCCTGCCGGCCGTGCGGTTCGTGGTTCGAACCCCAAGCCATTTTTTGCGATTTTGTTTCCGCGTGACTTACCGCGCCCCTCTTTGCCCCCACAGCTGCGTGTACCGCTTCGAGGCGCAGCCCGGCGAGCACGTCCGGCTCACGCTGACGCGGGTCATGATGGGCGGCCGGGCGTGCCGCACGCGCGAGGTGCCCGAGCTGCGGCGCCTCTACTGCGCCGGCGACAACTCCCTGACGGTGCGCGTGCTGGAGGAGGTGTGGCCCGGACGGCCGCTCATCCCCAGGGACTGCCTGTGCTCCGGTAAGGACGGCGAGACACGCAGCCACGCAGACCACTGGGACCACTGGGCCGGATTTTTGTAGTGCACACATGAGACTTGAACAGGGATGTTTGCGTCCAGGTGGCCACAAATTTTTTTGAGCCCGGGCTTGTTTTACCCCCACCCCTCACTGACCCTCGCGTGGCGTTCCAGGCGACCACATGCCCTACACGTTCATCTCCTCCTCGCCCGTGGTGGAGATCCACTTCACGGCGCTCAACATGGACGCGGCCGACGACTTCCGCAAGATCAACATGATGGGCGCGTGGACGTCGGTGCGCCAGGACCCCTGCACGCGGCCGCGCCGCCTGGCCGGGCCGTCGGGGAGCATCCAGCTGGGGCCGGGCAACGCCGTCCCCGCCGGCGCGGCCTCCACGCCGCACTCGTCGGAGCCGTGCGACGGCGTGCCCTGGCTGGTGGAGCCGGCCGCGGGCCGCTACCTGTACGTCACGGTGCGCGGCGTGGCCATGCACCCCAACGACACCAAGACGTGCGCCACCAAGAACCGCGTCTCGCTGCACGCCGGCAGGAGGAGCCTCGTCGTGTGCCCCGAGCCCGCCTACGGCTACGCCCGCCAGATCGAGGTGAGTCTTTGCCCCTGCGACAGCTGTCAACCCCAAGCGAAGTGTTCTGCAAAGCTCCCCTCTGTTGCTGCAGGTGGTTTCGGAAGGCTGGGTGGTGGCGGGCGAGCCTCCGTTCACCGGCTCGGACGACGCGTCTCGCAGCGTGGCCATCGAGTTCATCGGCAACGACCCGGGCTCCTACTTGGTCAGCTGGCTCGAGCTGTCGCGCAGGTGAGTTCGACGCGCCATTTCTGCCGTTTCACTCTGCAGTGTGCACGCCGTCGCTGACCCCACGTGTTTTTGTTGTTGTTGCGCCAGGCCGCTGGAGCCGCCGTCCGTGGGTGTGTCTCTGGAGGCGCTGGAGCTGTGCCGCCACCGCTGCCCCGAGCTGGACGCCTGCATCAACGCGTCGCTGTGGTGCGACGGCACGTCCCACTGCCCGTCGGGCTACGACGAGGCCGCCACGCACTGCTGGGTGCTGCTGCAGCTGCCCGTGCTGCACCTGTTGGCCGGTAAGCCGAGCGTGCCGAGTGTGGGCCCAGCGCCTGGCAGATAGGCAACGCAGCGCGCGCGCGCTTGGCGGGTCTGCCCGCGTGCAGTGCTCGCAGGAAGTTGCCCGCCCTGCATGCCTCTCAGGTGCGCTGCCTGTGCGCGGCCTCCACGGCGTGCTGCGTGGTCCTGGCGCGCGTCGGCAAGCGACGACGCAGCCGCGGTCGCCGCGACTCGCTGCAGCGCCACCTGCAGGAGGCGCCGTCACTGGACTCCAAGGAGGTCATCTGCTGACATTCGCAGGATTCTACGCGGTACGTCGAGGTGGACCGCGTCACCACTGTGTGACGCGCCGACGGTCTGTCCGTCTGTCCGTCTCGGGCGCGTCTGCCCTTCTGCCCAGCCCCTCGCCTCGCCCGCCTCTGGGCCGCCTCGCCGGCGTCCTGCATCCTGCCGCGTGGCCGGCCTGGGCGTGCCAAGCTCCTAACTGACTCGACACCACATTTTTGATAATCGCACTTGTTGTCAAAGGCACCCCTCCTTCTTGCATCCTCTGCCCCAGAGAAAGATATGTCAATTTAGAGGTACTTGTAAGAACCCTGAATGAGTTTGGTCTCCTTAAGGGACAACATTGGAAACTGTTTTGTGCTAGCTCAAGGCAAAGGTGGAAAGAGTGAGGTAGGTTGGAGAATGGGAATCAGACCCGCGTACCCGTAGAATCCATAATAAATCCTGTGGGGAAGCCTGGAAGTTTACCCCTGTTGCAAGATGATTGCATATAAACGCACAGCATTTTAATAGGTGCTGTCATTTGACCAAAAAATTGTTTGTACATAGTAAACTACAAAAGAATATACAGGGTCATTTTAAAGATTTTATGATGATAGTGATAATCATGTACAATAGTTGCCAATCTTAATCAATGACATTTGTTTAAAAGTAGGTACAGTGACTCCTGCATCATTGAGGGAGGAAGGTGTTAGGGTAATGCCTCCCTGAAATGTTTCAAAGCACAGGAGGAACAATGGTTGTGCGCATTTAAAGATCGATACTGCCCCATTTAAATTAAGGAGTTATTTTTTAAATATTTCTTCCATAAACAAATTATAAATATTTTGGAGAATTTATCCGAGAGGGGTAAGCTCTTGTTAAAACTGAGTAAATGTCTTCCTCTCAAAATGTTTGTTCGTTCTTTCTAGGCTCATTAACTAATTCCATTTGAAATTATTAATAGAGAAGTAAATGCATGGAAGAATTTGAAACCAAGTGACTCTCCCTATAGCGATTGCATTTAATAAATTATATTTCCCATTCTAAATCAAAAAATATAGATATATAGCCTGTTACTTCTATTCCTCATGAGATTTAGGTAATGATATTCCAATTTGATTTCTTTTCATAAAGGTCTTCTTGTTCAACTTGACAAAAGCCAGGGAAGAAAGATGACAAAATGTTGATACTAATTTAATAGTGATCCTGATCAGGAATTTTGTGAAATTTAATACTGTTGTGATCATCAGCACAAACATTGATGTAAAGTAGAAGACCTTGTTGCTGGTTAGTATAGAAAATTTTATATGACATTTGTATAAAATATTTGATTAGTGTCTTTTTTCAGTACACTGGTGAACGAAGTTCAGAAAATTGCTTCCAGTTCTGTCATTTTTATCTTTGTACTGGGGACTTTTGTCGTATCCCAAAGAATTCAAGAGCTGATTGATCATTCTGATAGACATCACCAGAATGTGTGTACTCTGTCTACGCATTGTTCACCAGTGCAGGGATTTATCAGTGTATTTCTTGTAACTATTTTTAATTTAATTGTATGGAAAGTAGGAATGAAACTGAACACTTAAGTTTTTTCAGTTGTAACGTAGCTAGTTTAAGAAGAGAAGCCAAGCATACAATTGTCATAAGAGCCAAAATTTCTTGAGGAAATTGAGTATTCATGACAATATGGACATCGTAAACTTTATGTGTCATACGATCCTCAGTCAATATATATTCACAATATCATAATCCTTGTGACATAATTTTGGTCTGATGGTACCTTTCTTTAAGTAGGCAGTAAGGAGGTTCCTGAGAATTATGATGTCTGCTGTGGAAACTCAACTATTTTAGGTAACTATGGGACAAGATTATCAATGTCATTATGACCAAAGCCAACACGTATTCAAATGAGAGGACAAGAGTACCAAAATGGTTCTTGAATACTGAAATTTGTGATTAACAGTGATACAGGGGTCTTGCATGGATACTTAATGTGTATTTTATGCTTTACCTGTTGGTGCCACTCACTGCCAAATGTATAAAGAAACTTTGAGTGTTCATACACAGCCCTCAGGCTGATACATTTCAAATGCCAAAGTGCCCTAATTCTTACCCAACTTTCAGGTAGCAGAGGAAAGAGGTCTCTAGAGTCTAGAGAGTCTTAGTAAAAATATTCCAAAATTCCAAAAAGGCAAGTTAGTGCCTCACCCTACACTATTACCTAATACTCAAAGTTATCCCAATGAAAAGAAATTAAGTAAGAACGATTGTCAAGTGTCAACAAAGCATCTCTTTAATAGTGCTCAAAACGGTCAATATTGAGGATAAGTGTATTCATGGATGGACATCCATGGAAAAAAGAAACCTACAATGAAAAAATACATTTTGTAATTTTCTTTCCAAGTAGCATTGTACCAAAATAAAGCCCAATAGGATAGTTGCAACTTCAATACTGTTACTGTATCGATACTGTTACATCATTCAGAGATATACTGATAAAAAGATAATAGAGGTATTTAAGTGATTTTACTGTTGTCACTTGTTGATTGTGTTGTGTACTGAGAGAATAAACTATAAATTTCTCGAGCAAAACAGATTTAATGGTCTAATGAATTTCATCAAATATATATGTACATTCAGCATTCAAACAAAACAGGCAATTTGCTACAACATTCTTCAAATAAAAACAATAAAAGAAATTAAAGAGTTTCAAATGCATTTTACACAATTAATCCTACTTATATCACATGAAACCAGAATAAACGGTCAGAGATCAACAGGTATAATATTATTCTTAGGTATACATGAGAGCAATTTTTCAAAGGGTGCATAAACCTTAAGAGTTTGGCTGTGGCCAACTAAAACCAACTTGTGTTTAGCTCTTGTGATAGCTACGGTCAAGCGCCTTTTGTCATTCAAAATTCCTCGTTCCTGCAACAGAGTTTGCATGTAGTAAGCATGAGTGATATGAAACGGTTTTAGTATTGGAGTGCTTAAGTTGTACCTTAGCTTGCTTCTGGGATGCACCATCCGATCTTGTACACGAATACACAACCACTTCTTTGTCTCTGCCTTGAAACTGATCTACTGTATTCACTTCAATTTCAGATAGTTTGGGATCAGACTTGATCGCTTGTGTTAATAAGGAAACTTGGGCCCGGTATGGTGCCATGACACCAATACCTTCAGTGTTTACTCCATTCTGGAACAAGGTGGACAATTAATTTCATTGTAGTATTGAGACCATCTATACACTGATAACATAATTCAGTTACATACATTTAAAAAAGTATATAAAAGTTTCATAACAAGTGACAGCTCAAAGTGATTGGAACATGAGGATTCTCCATTACTTTCAGAACTCTGAGCATTTTCCACATTTAGTTTTGGAGAGGCTCCACAAGTATCGATAAATATAGCAGACTTTTCAATATCGGTTGACAATGAAGCAGCCAGCCACGACTCCTCAGGAACCTGCAAAATAAAATAAAATTTTATGACACTCACAGAACTAAAACTAGGCAAGGAAGTTAAAATAACAAACCTTGGCAGGTGATGCTAGATGAAGAGTGGCATTAGCAACTTTATCATTTCCACACTTTAGTTTCCCTTCATAAGTGAGACTATTGGCTAAATCTGTGATGACTTGGTTCATCCGATAATTCAATGTCAATGAGACAGTTGCTGCTTCTGAGTCCAATCGAGCAAAAAGACTCTCAGAAAGTCCAAGTTCCCTGGTGGAACAAAATTTTAAAAAATTGAATCACCGTTAAGAAATACAATAAGGATGATATGAGAACAAGACTTTACAGCGCTTGATGACATTTCACCACGGGCGGAAGCTGCTCTGGATCGCCCACCAGGACAAACCGACGAGCATTAAACAATGGGCGCAGAACAGAAGGTTGAAGGACCTGAGTGCTCTCATCAACAAGGCAAATGTCAAATACACGTCTGGATAGACATGCATGTCCAGCTCCAAGACATGTAACACCAACAATTTGCTAGAAAAATCATATTACAATTAGAGAATAAATTTCAGTGTCCCATTTCAACATTGCAATTTGAAGACTGGTGAAAAAAGTGGGCTTCTTAGAAAAAAATCTGACTTCATACCTGCTGACTATATACTTTATCCAAGTCCTCAGGGCTATTACAATGCTTTGTAAGTGAAGTCTCAGAGAATGACAGAACATGAGGATGAATGCGTGAATCTGGTCCAAGTCGTAGGAATTTCAATCCTACCTTCTTCAAGCGCACCAATAGATTGTCAACAGCAGAATGGGTATGACTAGTTACCAATACAGATAACCCTGCACGGACCAAGAGTTGGACCAAAGCTACCATTGTCGCAGTTTTACCTGAGGAAAGAACAAAGTAGCCATATACAGTATATCATTCAGACCAAACTAAAATATGTTTTTGTTGAAATTATTGAAAGATTCATTCTTATGCCAAAATTCTTCGAGTGCTTTGAATTTTGAACACGGAAAAATTATGTTTTATGAAAATAATATTGTTATAAAGTAAGATAACAAACCACAAAGATAAACTCTGTGTTGAATGGGGTATTGAAGGTAAGGAATCAAAATGCACAGCAATACAGTAACTCCAATCAATAGTATATTTCGTCTGTTTAATTATGCTATAAGGTAACATAAAGATATAAAGTGTACAGAGATTATGCAACAATTTTACATGAAAAGTCTCAGCAGTAATTTAACAGATCACTCAAGTTTAAACAGAGTTCAAAAGAAACCAAATAATATGTAGTACTTGTGGCTAAAGCATACATAAATGAAATTTAATATAAATAAGGCACAAAACACACAAAAGCCATACTGATTTGGAAGGAGGATGGAACCTCCTACAACTCATAAAATAATTTAAAGGATAACAGGGTGCAAACAATGCACAAATTTTTTTGGAACGACCCCTTTTCCCACTGACAACAGCAAGAGTCAACATGAAACATTATACCTCTAAATACCAACTCATCAGCTGACGGGCTGCTCAAGAGCAGGATTTTGCGTACCTAAAAGAATACTTTCTACATTTTCTAATGCCCACCGGTGTTCACAAATTTCAAGAGCTTCCCATTCTGCTTTAAATGCAACTTTTGGATCAGGCGGCATAGCCATTGCTGCACCTGACATTTGATCCTGGAGATGTTGAGACTGATCAGCAGCATTATTCTCACCTAAGACTAAAGTATAAATACTTCTTAAACCAAAAACATTGAGAAAGTACCAACTAGCAGAGGAAACCCAAGCAGCATCTAGAGATACAAGCTCAATTCCTCTTTGCAACATAGGTTTAAATCTTAAAGTAAGGGGGAATGGTACTTTTGTGGTAACAAAGCCTGAGAATGTCCAGTTGATCCATCCACCAATAACAATCATGGGTAAAACTGTAGTAATATTTCCCTTTAACATCTCTGTCATCATACTTGGATCAGTCATTGGGTTTTGAGATACAGCTTGTCTTTTCTGAGTTTTGAAATAACCAGTTTCTTCATTGTTGAAAAAATGGCGACGCATTACAAAGGACGAACGAGGTAGATAATGTCCATTTTCTCGCAGCAACCGAGCCCGGATCATAACCTGACAAAAAAGTGGTTTGATCAGTAAAATTTTTAACAAGAGGTTCAATGTAGGTGATGAAATACACATGGAGAGAATAAATGAGAAACAACTGAGAACACAATTTTTAATAATAATAATCATAAAAAGACTTAAAATGAATAGAGGTAATTTGAAATCATAAGTAAAAGAATAATAAAATGTTTATTGAAGAGAGTTCTTGTAATGCATTGTGCAAAAATTGTAAATAAGAAATTTTCTTTACGAAAAAATAAAACTTGTAAACACTAACCTGCGAATCTTGAAGTTGCTGGAGCTCAGCCCGCTTTTGAGTAGCGAGCAATATGGAAACATAGTGACGCACTATACCCACGAGAAATGTTATAACGACAATGGGTAAAAACACCCACACTCGTATATCCGGGTCAAGTAACAGCTCGGCCATTTCAATAAATCTTAAAGAAACTTAATACCGATGTTGACGACGGTCGGTAACCTATTGATCGGCTGCTGACTGCTGACAGTTGAAAATCATGCATCCCCGCCCCCCCCTCTCTTTCTTTCTTTTGTTCTACCCCTTGCAGGTACCAACCTCAGGCGTAAAACTGCCATCATGGGTTTCCAAATGATCGATCACTGAACCACTTTAAGTAGTCAAACAGAACCGCATAATTTCACCTCCATACATTAAATTTCATAAACTTTATTACGAATTACCGACTGAAGCACGACTTGTACCACTGCAGTTTAAAAGCAGCGGGAATGTTTTCACTACGAGACACACGTCAAACGGCGCACGCGCGAAATTTCAAAACTGAAGGAAATTCCCTTACATTCACATTTACGTTCACGATGGGGTTGCGGGAAGACCAATTCAATTTGCAGATTCCACCCATCATATTTCAATTTTTTTGAATTGAACGCATTTCACTTGATTATTATTGAAAGGGCTTTAGGAGATTTTCTTCCCAAAACCCCGTCGATGAATGATTTTTTTTTTCAACCTTTCGGGTTTATTATATTGAGGCAAAGATTCTAGAGTCAAATTTTATACAACTTTGGTTTAGAAATACAGCTCAGAAAAAATTGTTTATTTTAAAATTTCTCAGAATTTTTTATTTTTTCAGGGGGCCTGTCAAATAAAGAGTTTACCTGTCAATGATTATTTTGCGAAGTCGCTCAGCAGATTCATTGTTATCTAGCAGGCACCCCAGATTTGTTAAATTAAACACCAAGACAGTGTTGGATTCACTGGCATCAAGGTGAAATGTTTCATGTGCATACCGCTCAAATAGGTTCCTGGGAAGTCATTGGACATAATGTAAAATCCAAGAGCAAAATTGTTCACAAAATCCAGTAAGGCAACTACCTGTTTGTAGAAACTCTCACACAAGAAGCATCTATATCAATTATGCTACCACGCTCAATAGCTACACGTTTGTTTGTACTAATCAGTATGTAGTCACCAGCACTTAGACCAAGGTCCCTCAAATCACAAATCTCAGCACCAGAAACATCTCGGGTGAATGTGTGATGGAACTTCCCCGCTACTTCTACCCCTGGTTTTAACAGGCGTAGATTGGTAATAGCTTTTCGGCCTTTTTCCCTACAAGCATGGAGGACAATAATGTTAATGCAAAGTTGGAAACAACAAATCTTGTACAAAACAAAATTTTTGGAAAATACCTGTCCTTGGGTGTAAACCTCCAAATATATCTCAAATTAGCAGTCTTCATTTGTTCCATATCTTCCATGAGAAGCAAACTCATCCAATGGAGGAAATAGTCTGAGTGGAGTTTGGATACATGTTCAGTTGATGATGAAGCTATTGAAACCATTGGATGGTCTGAAGAAATTGCTGACAACCCATCTTCCCTGGAAACAAGTTGATATTAACTCAAGGAAAATGTTCAGTCATCAACATTATGTTATAACTTTAATTTAGATTAGAGGCTGAAGGGTAAATGACTTACTTTAAAAATGTGGAGCAAAGTGTAACGTAGGGACACTTCTCACAAGCACTTCTGAAACTAATAGGCTCAGGTAGCTTAGGTGGAAAGAAGTGGCCAGTCTCCTCATTTATAACAGGAGCTCTAGGCTTCAAGTAGTGTGCCATAGTGTTTCGAAGTAGAATGAGGTCCTTGCTTTCATTCCGGGAGACTGATACCTCCTGCATTTGTCCTTCCCTATAATTTTCAGAGAAGAAATAAAATCAGATATATTCAATCCGATTACTTTGTAACAATACAACAGCAGTTCATTAAGGTCATAAGCTCACCGAAGATACAATAATAAACCAGATTCAACAGGCTGGCCCATCCTTGACATCATCATAGTGTAAAGGGTAACTTGTCCACGATGTTCGGCAGAAAATGAAGCCTTTCCGGTTTTTAACTCTAGAGGCATTATCTAAGATAAACCATAAATTTTCAATTTCAGCAATTAGGAATACATTCAGATATTGGTGGCAAAACATTAAAATGGCACACACCTTCTTGTTTCCATGTGTATCTTGAACTTCAACGGATACATCCACCATGCCTTTAATGCCTAGTTTTGGCTCCCAGAGTGTTTCCTCAATGTCTCGAATACCTATTATTTTACCATTGAAATCTTTTGCTCCTCTATTTTCCCCCTTAAATGCTCGAATTGGATTTTCACAGGATGAAGCAGGAGCTCCAAGCCACGCACTGCAAATATTAGAATTAGTAATAATAACAATCAGACAGTTGCAGATACATTTTGACCACTACACTACATGTACAAGATATACACAAACCCTTTTCTATCTTTCCTGACTGGCTTAGGAATCTCAACAAATTTTTCAACAAAGTTCACAATACGTGGAATAAAGCCAGAAAGTTCTTTCTGCATCTGAGCCATGGTCATGTTGGCCGCATACATCATTGAAACACAATTCTTTGAAGAAATAAGCTGTTCCGATAGTTGCCTCACTTCAGGTTCAGTGCGTTTTCTTTGTTGAAGTACCTTGAAATTAAATTAAGTACATGGTAAGATGTAATAATGAAATGATTTAAAAGTGGATGAAATTGATCAATGAAAAGTACTAACCATTTGAAACAGCTCATGAACAATACTGCCAATTACCATTATTGGTGAGTCACTGTCCATGCCACGAAATAGACTACTAAGGACAGAACGCCGAGCACAGAAGAGTGAACCAACAACTGTTGTACCAGAAATTAAAGTGTCTGGGTGTAAAACAAGAAATCCTTGAGTATTATCCAGAAGCCATTCATCTTTAACCCTGACAGCTTCCAAACTGATACAGTCTCCTTCTGAAACTGGGCAGCCCAACCTGGAATATATTTAGATTAAAGACTTCCTCCATCAAACAAATTTTCATCGTGGAAAAATCCAAGAATTTTTATTGTAAAGTATCAGACCAGCAACCGCGAACTCTACAGGAGGCAACACTTTTGTTTCCAATGCTTTTGACGTGTATGATTACTTCTTTGTAAGGGATCTCAACACTTATGGATACCACCTCACAAAGCTGGGCTTCACGAAGGTCCAATGGAGATAATTCTTCCTCATTCCTTAAGCAAGAACAGTTGTTTCAGATTGAATAGAACAAATAAAACATGTGATACATGTGACAAACAAAACACTTACATTTTATCCATAAGGGACAACACATCATCAAAATCATCTTGAAATACAGCTTCAATGTCATGAAACTCATTTGATTCAGTTAGAGTTGTAGTTTGAGGCTTGGATGGAAAACTTTTTGGGGTTCCTTTAGCTGGAGACTAATAAAGGAGGAAGCATTTGCAATATACCTTTCAAATTTTAGAATAAACATTGTGCACAAAAATAAGAACTCACATTGCTCCCAATCGTCTTTTTGACAGTGGGAGATGTACTGATATGTTTTCTGGGTGACCTGCGAGGAGCTGCCTGGCTATCAATTTTATTTTCCTTATCTAGTATTCGAAGCTCCTCTGCTAAGAAAGGCGGAGTTTCCACTTTAGTTGTTTTTTTCTCATCCTAAAAAAAAATGATACTTCAATACATTAAGGAAAGGATAAGTCATCTAGTAACTTTGCATTTACACAAAATAAATAATTTAATTGCGCTTGTGGGGAAAAAAAAAACAGGAATTTCACTTTACCTGCAAAGTGGTTGATAAAGAAGCTATCTTTCGAGGAGATCGTCTAACTGGAGAGCTCAGAATTTTTCTTGGCTTCACTGGGGAATTTGCACAAGAGGTAAGTTTTGGTGGGGAACAGCTGTCCTTGTTAGAAGAAAGGAAGTCTTCCGTAGATTTTCGCCTCAATGTTTTTGGCCGAATATCTAAAGCCGGGTACTTCAGTTCTGGTGTATCAGAAAGTGAACTAGATGAGGAGCTCTTCTTCAGAGATGGTTTTGAGGTGCCATTAGTCGCTCCTCTTTCTGGAAGAGTACTGGTGGTACCAACACTTTGTAAAGAAAAAAGACTTGAAGTTCGTAGCTTGGAGGGCTTCTTTCTAGGAGCTGAGACTTTGGAATCAGACTTCATTGGAGATATATCTTGTAATATGCTTTTCAATACCTCATCATTTTCTGTTTTTATTGGTGAAATCACAAATTTCTTTGATGTAACAGTTTCAACCTGGCTCTTCTTCTCAGGTGTGATATTGCGCTTAGCAGGGGACAGTGAAATTAAATCACAACGTTCTTTAACATCACGCCTTAGAGAACTGGGGGAATCATGTTTAGGCATGTCAGGCGTTCGAAGTATGTTCAGATCATTTTCTTCTTTGTGAATGGGTTTGTCTATTTTGACAGGTGATTTTTTACTTTGAGTATCTATAAATGCCTTCCCAACATCAGGTGACAATTTAAAATTCAAGGACAGTCTCTTACTTTTCTTTGACAGGCTCACATTTGGAACGTTTGCTGGAGGCGATATGTTCTTCCTATCAGCGGAGCTTATGTGAGACAACTCAAGCTTTCTTTTCTTGGAGGGCGTGCAATTCTTAAGGGGGCTTAATGAGGAAGGTCTAGTTTTTTCATTTTCTGATGTACTTAAAACTTTTGATTCAGAAGTAAGGTTGCTGGTGGATGAGGGTGTATGGGACGCAGCAGGGGTAGAAGAAGTACATGTTACAGATGTCTTTCCAACTTTCGGTGAGGACGCGGGGGTAAAGAACGATGAAATGCTTCTTTGATTTGGATTCTTTTTAACCTACGGCATTAAAGAATAAAAAGTAAGAGCGAATAAACGCATATTTTCCTCAAACAATAAGAAAAGCCCAATGGTGACTAAAGACAAATTACTTACATTAGTAGACCGCTTCATTGTCAACTACGAGTCAGCAGAAATTATTTTATTTCAATTTCATTCCAGACTGCTCGAACGGGGGTTTTGTGTTTCTATTTCTCGTCAAAAAATAAATGACTCTGACACTTGCAACTAAACTGCTTAACCTAAATCATCCCATTGATGCTTTCCCGCCATAGTGGAGCAAAACAAAACAATCGTGCAAATAGTTGTTCGTCTGCTATTGCGACTATTTGCAGAACATGTGCCGACGTGCCGACTGACAAGACAACAAAAAGCTTCGTTCAAATCAAAACAAAGCATGCAAGTTGAGTTGTCACTTGCACCAAGAACACGGAACACTAGAACATTAGAAAAAACCACTGTTCCTCACTTCTCTGAAATATTGACAGTCAAAACGGTCTGTTTCCATGCCTCATCAAATTATATTTCGTGAACAGTACGGTGGGAATGGACATGAAGTTCTTTACATCAAAGCCCCAGGTGAAGCATCAAGCTGCTGACAGGCACTGACACAATGCAGAAAGAGCAGTTCTTGAACTAGTGTATTTTTCCTGTTTTCAGATCAAAAAGTCGTTGTGCCACTAGATTCTAGGTACTCTCAGAGTGTGGCATACTCTGTTATTGGTTCTCTGACAAATTTCTTCCGCTTAGTGTTTTTACCCCAAGGATACCCAGAGAGTGTGAGCAGAGATTATTTCTCGTATCAGTTATGGGATACTGTGCAGGTTTGTATAATGATATCCGCTGTTCAAATTAGATACAAACTAGTTTGTTTACATTGGCTGTTTTCTTCTAGGCATTTTGCAGTTCCCTCAATGGAACACTAACAACGCAAGCCATTATGAAAGGTGTTGGAGTCGGGGATCAAGCTTCGACCCCTGTTGCTGCTGCGATTACATGGATCCTGAAGGATGGTACTGGGAATATTGGACGAATTGTTTTTGCATGGTGGAAAGGGTAATCCTTTTGAGAAGTTATATCACATTATTAAATGAACTACAACTTCTTACATTATTTGTACATTTTGCTAGCACAAGTTTGGATGCAGACTGCAAAAAGTGGCGTCTATTTGCTGACATTGTTAATGATTTAGCCATGTTTCTTGAGCTCCTTCTACCGTTTTTCATGGGTTATTCCACTGCCCTCTTTTGTGTCGCTACTTTACTTAAAAGCATTGTCGGAGTAGCAGGTGGAGCCACAAGAGCTGCCTTGACTCAGCACCAGGTAATTCATTTTGGTAAACACTTAAATTATTTGTGCTTTGAACTTATCTTAAGAGAATGTGACAATAATTTTGCTCTATTATCAGGCCATAAGAGACAATATGGCAGATGTCTCTGCAAAGGATGGAAGTCAGGAAACCTGTGTGAACCTCTTGGCTTCTCTGGCTGGAATAGTAGTCCTCACAGCTGTACAAGATTCGCGGTAGGAGCCTCTGAAACTCGTCTCTACTCCTCTTTTGTTTGTGTTGACAGAATTAAAAATATTCCATTTCATTTACAGGTTTCTGTGGCTCTTGTTTTTCATATTCACATCTATTCACATTTATGCAAATTACAAAGCTGTGAAGTCTTTAACTATATCCACTCTGAATATAGCTCGACTGAACATTGTTATTAGCAACTATATACAGACTGGCACTGTTTTAAACCCAGATATTGTCAACCAGAAAGAAGCAGTTGTTCTTGGTCAAGGGCTCACTGGTAAGCAGTATTGTATTTGTATTGTATTTTATGATAACAAAAGGAGAGAAACTTCAACGTCAGCTATCTCTTTACAGCAAAAGATATTTGTGGCCACAAAATTGTGATTGGGGAATCTGTTGCATCGGTTGTCCGAGACTCTGCCTTGACTGCTGATCAATTTAAGGTTCTACATCATTTGCATGAAGACCGAGGTTACATGTTAGTCCCTTCTCTGAAGGAAAAGAAAATCTTTATTTTACTGCAGCATAGAGTTTGTGCCAATTCTAATGCAATCGTCAAAGCCTACTTTCATGGTATTCTCCTAGGCCTTGCGGCAATCATGTCCAACAATGGGGAGCAGCAGTAAGTTTGTTTCGTCCATTGTTTGTTTTGTCTTTTATGAATCTGCTTATCAGCCTGTTAATTTAAAATCATTGGTAGGTTAGCAGGAGTTCATCACCAAGTGGTAATTCTGTGCTGAAGCGACTGGAAAAAGCTCTGAAAGCTGCATCAACCCCTATTCAATCTAGCACGGATATGCATAGTCCAGGATATGTTCCCCCAATGTCATCTATTATTGCTATTATGGCTTCGATGCAAATTGACAGTGATGAAACTGATCAATTTGTAAATGGCCTTCAGTCTGCAGGTGAGTTTTTTTAACCACCAGTCTGTATTGGTACCAAGATGTACCTTTCATGAATTATATAACAAACTTTTCACACCTCTAACAGGTTGGGCTTCAAGTGGACATCACCTTGGCAGCAATGAATGGCGTTTCATATGGTCACAATCACCAACTAAAAAAGGGAATGCCTAGGCATATTCTATGATGAACATTCCAGAAAATTTCATTTATGTGCTGTGATTTTTCTCATCTGTGTTTGGCTTTTAATGTGTACTGTATTAGTGCATAAGTGCACAGAGAGTGCGTAAATTCGCCAGACATGTACTTTGTCGCCAGAAGAAGTAGGTATGGACAGGAACTACTTTCATATTGAGCTGTCATTTGAACATAATAATGGGAACAATATAACACTGAGAAAGATATTGGTCTTAATATTATATCAAAAGACCTATATTGTATCAAGATAAGCAGGGAAATTTCACAACTTTACCATAACAAAAATACAGAAAATATGGACTGCGCCATTAATGAACACATTTCAACTTTTAAAAATTTCCTGTCCGGCAGGGAATGCCAAATCACAGTTAGAGGATTTTACCTGCAACAATGAACTTTTTAAGACCAAAACATGACAAAAACATATTTTAAATGTGCAGCCAGAGGAAATGGGCCAAAAGAAAAGCAATGGCCCCTGAAAACGTATGGTAATTAGAGTTTTCAAATCCTCACCTAAATACCTTGTAAAAGATCATCCAGTTTCTGCTTTGCTTCCTGTCTGACATAGATGCTTAACAACATCCACCCAGTCCCATCCACGGGCTTTTTGACCTTTAGAATCGGCTTTGTCCCACTGCCTCCTTTTTTGAGCCTTAGTTAAATGTTCTTTTTTCTCTTTAGGTTTATCTGACTCCTGTGGGATAATAAAAAGTAAAAGGGTCTTGCACATGAAAATGGGAAGTTATGTAGAACATGTCACAGACTGTGAAATTATACTGACTGTTGCACAAGATGCTCCAAGCTGTACTCTTTCCATTGAGGCAGTAACAGATTGAAGTGTTTCAGGCTGTTCCTTCAACAGCTCATCTAGTTTCTCTTTGATTGATTCAAAAATTGTATATGTTACAGGCATTCCTAAGTACTGCTCAGCTTCTGTATCAATGTAACTAATGATTGTCTCTTTAACAGATGGGAGTCTGAAAACAAAATTTAAAAATATAAGGACAAATTAATTAACAAACAAATTAAGAAATTCGAACAGAGTAACCTACTTACAAATTTCTATTGTAAAATGCTTCCAAATTGAAGGCGGGTTTGACGGATGGATAAGTAGGACCCCATGATATTTCTAGGACAAATGACCTCGAAGCTCCATCATCACCATACTGCCAGACAAAAAAAGAAGCATAGTTAACAAGGCAAGGAATAATATGAGAAGAATTATGCTTATTGGCAGAAATAAAAGCATGATCTTACTTTATACTGGTAGACGGTAGGAGATACTTGCTTGAATGAAGGATCCCCATCATAAATTGACATAAGTACTTCCTGTTCATCAGTTTGCTGCTCTGCGTCACTCATGATTCTCTGTAAAATGTACATAAAGTAGTGAAGGGCGATGTCATTTCATAAAAATTAAAGGAATCGTAGGTGTATTTGGAACAGCATTTGGCAAGTTCCCAACCAACGTAAATTGAAAAGACAGATAGGATACAAAACAAAAATGTATAAAGCAAGTAAGACTTGTCTCAAAAATTAAAATTTATAGGAGTAAAAGCACAAATAAAAATTTAAGAGAATCTAAGGGTACCAAGAAGGTTACGTTTGAAGGACTCGAGCAAATACGTAGCCATTGTGTATCACAGGTGTAGAAGTGCATCAAAAGAAACATTATTGCAGACCTACGCTGTCGTAAAAAACATACCACTTCAAGGTATGTTGCTTTTGTTTTTTTCAAAACAAATTATGTTCAGCAGGTCCAGACCGACAGCAGAGCAGAATAAACATTTACGGGGGAGGGGGAAGAGAGTCGATAGGTCGCTCGAGCTATAGAAGGTTCGTCATTTCCGGTGAAATCTCTCCCAAACCAAAAAACGAGGACCTCTTTTTGATTGAAGAAGAAGTTGGTTAAATTTGTTGAAGGACGGGTTAGGTATAATTCATTCATCAATGAATTACAAATGTTTGATTCAGTCTGGCGTAATTGACTAAAAAGGTCTGCTTGAAGCTACCGAATGGTCGTTTGTTGCTGTGCTGTTGGTTAGCTCTTCTCGTGCTGTCATTGACAGACACACCACAGGTCTTTTCTCCAAAATGGTGAAAATGGACAGTTCTGAAATGGAAACAACGATGGATTTAAAATGTCAGAAGGAAAAAGTCGACGAACATGCGAGACGCAAGCTCGTCGAAGGAGAGAAGTGGTAAGTGTTTTCTTCCATTTTACAACCATCTTTTCTAGCAGAACTTGCATGATGTTGGTTTTCTCTTATTCAAAACCATGTGACTCAACATTATTTTAATTTTGGGTGTTTTTGTTAGTGTCACATTCTGTTTGAATTTCCTCTGTGTGCTATCTACATCATAAATTTCTATACGAGTCATTGCATGGCTTCAATTGCACTCTGACTACGACCATACTCAACTGCTCTGTGGATTCGTCCGGTTTCGTGAATTATATTAATTGTTTGTCATATTCTGGACGTTTCTACTGTGTATTCTGCAAATAGCTGTTGTCGTTAGTATCTGTATGCCAGATTCATGCCTATGAACATCTCAATCTAGCTTGATCTTCATTCACCCGTCCGTATGCCGTAAGAGGTTAGCGTTCGGTTTGTTAGGTTAGGTTCATACGGTTCCCTCTGTTTCCCTCCCAACTTCTTTTCCTTGTACATCTATCTATTGTTTACAGAAACTTCTACATAGTGACTTAAAATATTGATATTATTGAATTTTATGAGAGGAGATAATAACTTAATCATAGTTGATAATGACCCCTTTCTCGTGTCCATTGTTCTTTGTTGACGGAACTATCTTACTTATTTTGCAGGTATTTGATAGCATCATCATGGTTCACACGTTTAATGGATTATTTGAACAGCGATGATCCAAATGATGCTGAAAATCCTGGTCCTATTGACAACTCTAGTATTCTTCAAGGTAATCCATTTTTTATTGTGAGGAACTCTGCTTTCATTGTGATGTATTTTACTGAATTTTGGTTGCTTGTTGTTTTGCAGGTGATGACAATGAATTACTTAGAGAACATCTCATCGATGAAATGGACTATAAACTGGTTCCTGAAGATATCTGGGAGTATCTAGTTAACATCTATGGTTTAGCGGGAGGTCAAGAACCCATATCGAGATATGTAAGTGGTTTAACATTAGAAGTTAGTTCGAAAGAAATGGCTTCTCCTTTGTTCTACTTGTTTCTTTTTCCAGGTTGTCAATGTTGGAGAGTTCCAGGCTCACCTGAAAGTTGAAGTATATTTAGTTAATATAGAGCTGTGTAAGGATTTTGAATTAGACAAGACAGTTAAAATGTATTTCAGCAAGAAAGATCCAGCTGGTAAATTTTGTTGTTTCTTTGCAAGTATTTGGATTGTATTTTACAAAATTGCTCTTCATCTAATTTATTCTTTCCATCTTAGGCAAAGTCCATGATGCAGCTAGGAAACATTTTGAGATTCCTGACACCATCAAAAGTCAACTTTGGACTTGCTTTTCAAACAATGCTTACAATCTTGTCAAAAATCTTGAAAAAACACTCCAAGAAGAGCTGATATGTCCTAATTGTGTAGTTATTCTTGACACCCAAGGTCCAGATGGAGTCTACTCAAGTAAAGAGCATATGAAAAGGTGTGAAAAAAGCCATGTTTTTGTTTTTTTATTTGTTTGTTTCCATTTTTAAACTTTTTAAAGTATTGACTTGTTCCTTCCTGTCTTATAGATTTGACCTCCGAGAGCCTGTTAACAAATCAACAGCATCGAAAGAGACTGTCAAAAGTGCTGCTATTCCTTTGCCAGCTCCTGAAGCACCTTCATCTGCTCCCCCTATGTATGTAAACAGTTTTATCCCTTTAAGTTTTAGTTGCTGTTTTGTTATGTGTCTTAGCAAACATTATCCAATTTTTTTTCTACATTTATTTTTATATTATAATTTTTAAACTGTTGCAGGACAACTAGGTACAGCATGAACCATTCAACTGTTACTGCTGGATTGTGTGGTCTTTCTAATTTGGGAAACACCTGTTTTATGAACAGTGTGCTCCAGGTATATTCCTCTTTATTTATTGTAGTTATAGTTTGTGGGTCTGTTTGGAGTAGTCCCTGACTTGGCAAATTACTTTTTTTCAGTGTATGAGTAACACTCCTCCCATCACTGATTACTTCCTCAACAACCATCATCATGATGACCTAAATGTTGATAATCCATTAGGTATGCGAGGTGAAATTGCCAAGTCTTTCGGTGAGCTGATCAAAACGATGTGGAGTGGCACTTCAAGTACTGTACCTCATCACTTCAAGGTATTGTTTCTTAATCAAGATATCAGAAAACCAAGCTTTTTCTAGTAGATAAATTATTTATCTATCTCATTGTTTCCATTTATGTTTCAGCTTCAAGTCTCCAAATTTGCCCCACAATTTTCTGGGTACCAACAACATGATGCTCAAGAATTACTCACGTTCCTCTTGGATGGGTTGCATGAAGATCTTAACCGCATTCATGACAAGCCATATATTAAGCAGAGAGACTCTGATGGACGGCCTGATGAGGTAAAATTTTTACCTCTTTATCTTGTTGATGTGGTGTTGTTTTCTTGAGCTAAAACTAGAATGATTTGTGGCTGTCAGGTTGTTGCTGCTGAAGCATGGAGCAACTACAAGAAACGCAATGACTCAATAATTGTTGAACTTTTCCACGGACTATTAAAATCTACTGTGTGGTGTCCTCGGTGCAAGATAACATCTGTCACGTTTGACCCGTCATGTTACCTATCATTACCCTTGCCTACCAAGTTACATCGTCAAGTAGAGGTATGTTTAGTTCACTCTCACTTTAATATTGTTGATGTTTCTTTATTTATCTTATTTTAACTATTTTGGCTTCTTTTCCACTATTCAGGTATTATTTATTCCGTACTCAGGAGAGCAGAAACCAACACATTACAGAGTTCAAGTGCCTCAGAGAGCACGCATGGAAGATGTGTTTCAAGGATTACATAAATTTACAAATTACCCTGTAGACCAAATGATTGCCACCGAAAATGTGAAGCATCACTTCCAGCAGATATTTGATGCTACTGACTCATTAGATTCATTAAGGGACGACAAAGATCCAATAGCTGTGTAAGTTAGTTTTTGCTTGACAATATTCTCATATACGTTGCCATCTCAGCTCTAATGCCTGGCATTTGTCAACAGCTACCAAATTCCTGTATCAATTCATGACAAAAAGTATGTTGCTCTACCGGTTTGCCAGTGGGAGTTGGCTGAAAGGAAAGAGTTTGCAAGAAGTCAGTTGTTTGGCATGCCAGTGTTTGTTGTGGTTCCCAGAGTCGGATGCTCATATCATCAACTCTGCAATGCAATTCTCAAGAGAATGGATCCTTACCTCCTGATTAATGTGACTCCGAACCCCACTTACAAGAGTTTTGATGATGACTCTGTACATCTAAATGGAAGTTGGTATCTTGTAATTTGTTTACCAAAGTTTGCAATAACATGTTATGTTTTGTGAATTTTAAACTTTTTAACTGTGTTATAGGTATGAAAGATTCGGATAATGAAGATGAGGAGGATGAAGACAGTGAAGGGAAAGCTGCTAATGGGGATGGTCATGAGAAGATGGATCTTCACTTTGAACATGAGGATTGGGATAGAGATGATGAAGATCAAAAGTATACAAATGGGGACTCTATCAATCAAACTAACAAGTTTGGAATATTCATTGTGAACAACAATAGGATTCAAAGCATGAATTCTTCTGACATGAACAAAATTATTACTTTCCCTGGTAAAAAATCTACCAACATTTTGAAATTTTGTGGTGTTTTTATCTTGGGAATTCTCAACATCCTGTTCTTAATTGCAGATGCTTTGGGAAGACAATACCTGGCAATTCAATGGACGCCAAAATCTCGTCAAACATACTTCAAAGAAACAGCAGTTCGTGACTATGTGAAGCATGAAAGTTACCTTTCTATGAGGTCAGTTGGCGTTGACTTGAAAGACTGTCTATCTCTCTACACCAGCACAGAGAAATTGGATGCATCTGAGGCCTGGTAAAGTATCCATGATGTACTTGACTGTCTTCTTCATGGTGTTTTCATAAATTTTGTAGGGTCATAGTGAAATGGGTGATGAGTGTGAGGATTCAATAATTTAAGCTGACCTTCTGTGTTTTCTTAGGTACTGTCCAAAGTGCAAAGACCACATAGAAGCAACCAAAAAGTTTGATCTGTGGAATCTTCCAAGAATACTTGTTATCCATCTGAAGCGGTTCCACTTCAGCAGATTCCGCCGAGACAAAATTGACCTCACCGTCAATTTCCCACTACATGGATTGGAACTGAAAGATTATATTGTAGATCCTAACTACGATAAGAGCTCTACTTATGACCTAATTGGAGTTTGCAATCATTATGGAAACCTTGCTGGGGGTCACTGTAAGCCTCTCATCATTCTCGCACTTTTCTCGTGATGGAAGGTTCAACAATTTACTCTCTTTTTTCTTTTTTTTTTTTTTTTGCAGATACAGCTTATGGGCTGAACAAGTTAGAAAATTCGTGGTATCTGTTTGATGATAATCATGTTGGGAGAGCAAATGAGTCAGCTGTTGTGGTAAGTTTTCTGCTATCTAGCTGATGATAGCACTATCCAGTAATTTGTTACAATTAATTTTTCACTTTCTGACAATGTTTGTTAACATTTTTGTTGCAGTCAAACAACGCGTATGTACTGTTCTATATGCGCCGTGATGATGAAGAAATGCAGCAATAGCCAATGCCAACCCTGTTAAAATAATTGTGTGAAGTGGTAAATTCCACTGTGATGTGCAAGTAAGCATCTTTGAGTGGCAACACTTGAAAGCCTTATGAAGGAAACCTTTTTATTTAAAATATGCTGTGATAAAACTGAAGGTTTACCCACAAGTCAAGACATAGAAGCTGGAATGTTTGCATTATGACTGATGGAAGAACTAAGGCAGTGAGAGGACATTTCATTGTTGTTTAGTGTTTTACAGTTGTCTTGTTTGACATTTAGCTAATTGTTCATCATTATTTGTCATGTGTTTTGTTTACTAACTAATCCTCCTGAGAGGCTGCATGGATTTCTTGTCTCTCTGCCTTCTATAACAGCTTTGTTTTGAAACATAGCTTCTTTTGAGGTATGTGTCTCTTGCTTGTATTTGTTATTCTCTTTGCCTATTATTGACCGGACTATGTATGTCAAGCTCCGATTGTAATGGTAAAAGAGACTAGAGCCTTCATTTCCCAAAACTGTTAATGGTACTGTTCACAAATTGGTACAAAGTAAACTGGATTTGATTCTCACTTTTGCTGTAGACATCCTAGTGAGTTATATTTCTTATTTAAAAAAGAGAGTATCGATGAACATGTATTAAATGTAGAAGATTGTCCAATTAATTCCAGTTTATTTTTTAAACATCAGCTTCTAATATTAGCTTGAAGCTGTCCTGATATTTTTCAACTACTGTTAAAATATTGAGATATATATTTGAACTAGTTTTGAGATTTGAGGCTGAGACTTTTGCTAAAATGGTAGTGTTAACTTACCATCAAGCAGTGAAGACAGTGGCCGTATGTACTATCGATTCACTAATTGGGTTCTCTGTTTCTCTAGGAAAATATTCTGTGGAAAGTGGCATGTGGGTTTTATTTATTGCCTTATTTATTTCTTATGAATTGATTGTTCCTTTTACTACATTAATTTTGAAGTGTTCAGTTAAGTGCTAATTTCTATCTTAAATATCCAACCTTCCTCTGTTAAACTCTTTCTAATTAACCGTACTAGGCCCTTCTCTTGTACTTATCACACCTATTTTGTTGTTGTCCAATTTCTTGTTCTACTCAAATTTTGCTATGTAGTGCAACCCCAATGTTAATATTTTAGTTTGGTGTAGTTTAGGAATCACTTCTGTTCTTAATGTTTTTATCAGTGAAACCTTTTCACTGATGTTTTTAAAATGTGGTGTTCAGGTTTTCTGGAAAGATTGTTATGCTTTAGCTGTAGTATCAAAGCCTAAAATTCCCTTTTATATGCCACAGGAAAAGACTGTATCTCTGTTTAATTTTAAAAATCACTTTGCCTTGCACATTTTTAATGAAGGAAATATGATAATTTTTAATTTGGCATACCCTTGTAGGCTTTTAATTTTGATTTCCATTAAGATCAGAAATCTATTGTACAAAGCATGTAAAGCACTCCAAAAGTTTGTCAAATTTTGTTGAGGAGATTTCTTAATATTTATGAACGGTGTATCATGTGAAGGTGCTCAAGTCGAAGATTATCAATTTGTCCATTGTAAGCTAAAATTCTTTTGATACGTATTGTTGAAGTCATGTAGTATTAGCATATAAAATTAACAGTTTTTACAAAAATGTGATGGTAGTTCAAGTGTGGATGATGTATGATATGACTGCTATCTGATTTGATTCAGCAAATGTGAAATTAGGAGCAACTTATTTTATTTCTGAGTTGTTTTTGTTTCATTTTTTTTTTTTTTTCGATTTGGTTCTTCTGGTAAAGTGCCGCCAACTGTTTGTTGCCGTTTTAATTATGCCACTGATTTGTGAGATCAGGACCCTTTTATTTTCACTATACGGAGAGTTGGTACATTTTGGTGTCAAACTTTGAAATCAAATGTACAAATAAAAGAATGCGGAACATTTCACTCAGTCTCCATTTATTACCGCTGACCTGAGAGGAAGGAGGATCACTCGTCCCCGAAGAGGAGGCGCATGAGCGGCCCTCTCTCCCTCTCGCTCTTGTCCTCCTCGCGGAACATGGCGCGGAGGAAGCGCAGCATCGGCCGCTCCCGCTCGGCCAGCGCCAGCAGGGCCTGCAGCGGCTGCCCCGTCCCCGTCGTCGCGGCACTGGCAGTCGCCTCACTGGCTAGGGGCTCGGCGGCGCTAGAGGCAGCAATAGAACCTGCAGCAGTGCCATTTGAACAGCGAGTCGGACTCGACCTCGACCCCACGGAGCGAGGGGAGTCAAGTCGAACATTCCAAGCGAACTTATACGGCCCAGAAGACGCGCCACGCACCGAATGTCTGGAGGCAGGTTCACCTAGAGTCTAGACGCCTGCGGTGTAGGCCGCGCTCGCCCCACAGCGCGTGCGAGTACGATGGGCTGCCTACCCCGCAGGCGCTGTTCCGGCTAGGCTAGGCGTCCAGCCCGCTTGCCGCGGCTTGCCGCTTACCTGGGCGGGAAGAGGAAGGGCAGTGTCGGCGCGCGGCACCACGACCTGCAGGGCCCCGCGATGGCGGCGAAGAGGGTGGGGTAGGCGGTGGCCAGGGCCGCGGCCACGGGGCCCAGCGGCCTGGCGGGCCAGCCGGCGGGGAAGCCGTAGCCGCCGAAGCCGAGCGGACTGCCGCCTCCCGCCCCCGCCGACCCCACCCCCACCCCGCCCACGCCCCCGGAGAACGGCGGCCCGGTGGACAGCGAGCCCGCGGGCGCGAACACAGGGGGAAGGCCGGCGCCGTAGGCCCCGGCGAGGGAGGGGTACCCGCCGCCGTAAGCGGGGAAGCCGAAGGCGGGGTACCTGGACAACGACGAGAACGATGAACTCCGTGCCGTCGCAAAACCGGCGAAACCCGCACCGTTGACTCCCAGCCAGCACTCACCCCGCGTTTAGCGGTGGCGCCGTCGGGGCGTAGGGCACGTACGAAGGGGCGAAGCCGATGGACTGGTTCTTGGCCAAGGCTGGCAGCAGCAGCAGCACGTAGAGCACCGAGGCCGCCGAGGTCACCATGGAGTCCTACAGAGCAGACGAGGGGATGAGGGAGGACCGCGCCCGAGCACGCCGTCAACGGAGGCCGGACTGACCTGGAGGTTGGTGGCGTTGGCGACGACGCTGGCGTTCGGGGCGCTCCTGAGCAAGGGCATGGCGGTGAGGACCATGGGGGAGACGGTGCCGCGCTCCGGGCACTCGGCAGACTGCGGGCCCCGCGCCTCGCCGCCAAGCGCGAACGCCGGAGAGGCGCACGGGGGCAGCGGCGCGCCGTTTTATGGACCGCTGGATGCTCCGAGTGTCGAAGAAACGAAGAAACGGCGGCGGAAGGGAAAGCGAATTCGCAGCCCGATTGGATTGCGCGTTGCGCATGTCGCGAGCACCACATCATTTGCATACATTTTTGCTGGCCCTCCGTAAAAACTATTATCCCCTCCCCTCAGCTGTCGTGGTTTCTAGGGCTCTTTTTCTTTCTAGCTTTCATACTAATGGAGGTGACTGCAATGGACTTTTATGTGGGGACGTATTGATGACAACAGGTGCCAATAGCTTGCCAACCCCGGCCTATGAAGATTTGCTGTCAAGGCACGGCCCGCACGGCACCTCCTCACAAATATTTGAATTTTGAAAAAGGCGGAACTCGAACAGGAAAACCAACTGTTAGCGAATATGACTGAAAACAGTTCAATAAATCCATGATCTAGGACAGACAGAGCCGATTTTATTCTGTCTTGCTAGTCTGCAAAAAAAACAGTCTGCTCTGGAATCGGGTCCCAGCTTGCCTCTTTCAGAGAGTGATCGGGGCACTTGGCACCTTTGGTTGGCTAGCCTGGATGGCGTTGACGCGGCCGCGGGAGGACGTACAAACTGTCACCTTGCAGTGTCGTGCACCTTAAATTAGCTTTTGCTTTGTACGTGTTGTCCCGTCCCGTCTCTTACGTGTCTGTGAAGTTACCTTGCTCCGTAAATTTCCACCCGTGGTAAGTGCAGAAGCTTGGGAGAACGTCGAAGATGCACCCATTGATGCTCGTCTAAATCTAGTTTAGTTTTCGTCAGCCTTGATCGTGATGTTCACTGGACTGTTTGATCTGGGGTTACTGCAGGTTTCTCTGAATTGCTTGAAAAACTTCGATGCTTGTTCTGTTTCCAGTTGTCTGATTCTTCCCAGAATGAACGTGATCCGACAACCCAAGCGTGGAGGGGGGAACCCTGGTGGTTCGAGGCCCCTCATAATGACCAACCAGAAACCCAAAGGACGTGGGCGAGGAGCCATAGACTTTGACCCAAGTATGACCTCCACTTTGCAGTTGATCAAAGTTCCTGTATTCTGTATTTTAGAATTTTAGCCATGATCATTTCCTTCTAGTTCAATACCGCCCTGGCCGTCAGAGAGGCACTTCCACTTCCAGCAGTGGAGAAATGAGGACTCCGAGCAATCTGGCGCTACAGATGGGACTCATTTCCTCAGCTCATCGAGGTTCCTCTTCCTCAACTCACACCGATTCTGCAAACCCGTCTACACCATCAGGCCATTCTCTTATCCACCCAATGCTTAGATCAAGAGTTTTTGCCAGGTTCGTAAAATTCCACTAATGAGATTAGATGCCATTACAATATGAATGATTTGAACCTCTGTTTCACTTAGGCAATCATCGTCTTCATCATCTAATGTCACTCCAAGAGCTACTTCTATTATGGGCCCTCCAAAAACTCCTCGCAGTAATCTCTTCACGCCGAGGAATTCTTTGATAGTGTCAAGCACACCAAGAACAACTCCCACATCTGGCTCTACAGGAGAATTACATCATTCACATGTAATTCTTGGTATGATTGACTATAATGCACTTTTTCAGTTGTGTTAGTCTTGTGCCAATTATTCATTATTATTTTATTTTTTTGAGTAGCAGTATCCGAGGGGAGGGGACATGCTCGAGGTGAAGTTGGCATAGCTGTCATCGATATCAAGAGGCCTCGCCTGATTTTATGTCAACTTAGTGACCGTCAAACTTATGTAAACACTCTCACCAAAATCAGTGTGTTTCAACCGGTTGAGGTAAGCAAGTTTATATTTTGATGAGGTAATGTTATAGAGAACTGTTTTTAACTAAGAACTCGCAAATAATTTTTTATTTCCTATGGCAGATTTTGGTACCTAATACTTTTGTTGACTCCAATCAACCAAACAAACTTTATAAATTACTTGAAGAGAAATTTCCTTTTGTGAGCATGTCCAAAGTTCAGAGAAGGCTGTTTCGAGATTCAGATGGTCTAGAAAAGGTTCAGCACCTTTGCCTCCCTCAAAATTCATCTTGCCAGTTGATTCTGCAAGACAAGTAAGGGTGTATGCACTTGAAAAAATTTATTTTGTCTTGTATTATATCTTTCTAACATGTTTTGATTCCATTTTGAAAGATTTTATGCGTTGGCTGCAGCTGCTGCTCTTCTTAAGTATGTAGAATTTGTACAGAATGTAATCTTTGCTGCTCACTCACTCAAAGTAGAATATCAAGGAGCGCACCATGGAACCATTATTGGTAAGTAAAGAAATAATTTTAAACTTATCACGATGTTTCACTCTGTGCTTTACCTCTGTGCGCAATAACTTTGTCCCCATTTACAGATGTGATCACAGCAAAAAATTTAGAATTGCTTTTAAATCAACAGAGCAACAATGCCTCCCACACTTTAGTGAAGGTGATAGACCATTGCTGCACTAATGGGGGAAGTCGTTTGTTGCGGGCCTCCTTATTGCACCCCCCATGTTCCCTACCTTTCATTACAAAGCGCCAAGATAGTGTTCAAGAGTTGGTGGAAAAACCTGATGTAGCTCAGAAAATACGGGTAGGGTCTTCATGAGTTCTTTTAATTTTCTCGCAAAGTAAATCTTTTAACACATGTTTTCTCATTTTAACAGGAAGTTTTCCGGCAGTTACCTGATGTTGAGCAGCTCCTAACTTTATGTATGCAAACCCCATCAACTATTGATAGCACTCAGGCAATGGAGACAAGAGTGAACTATGTACTGCAGCTTAAAACAGCATTGGAATCTCTACCTCATATTGTGGCTGCTATGGAGAACGTTCAGTCCTCTTTGCTTTGCAAAGCTAAAAAGGTAGGAGGTGGGAAGTTTTAAGGAATTTAATAAGCACTTAAACCAGCTGTTTGTCCTTTTTTAAAAAATAATTTATTTGCTTATAGTGTCTTGAGGATCCCAGAGGTAATTTAATGAAAGCAAGAATCCTGCAAACACTAAATGAAGATGTCAAAGCTCCCAAGGGAGGTAAGACGGCTGTTTTTCAGAAGTGCTTTGCTGTTAAAAGTGGAATCAATGACCTCATGGATGTTGCTCGCAAAACATACTGTGAGCTTATCAATGATATGCATGGTAAATACAATTTTCTTTATCGATTTCCTATCTACTGAAAATTGTAAGTTTGCATATACCCTAATATTTTTTGCATTTCAGAAAATGTCATAGAACTTGGAAGCACTTATTCACTTCCACTGAAAATGAACTATTCTGTGACCAGAGGATATCATATTCAAGTCCCAATCCAAAAAAACCATCCTGTTAAAAAATCCGATCTGCCAGCACAGTTTGTACAGGTATTTAAAAACAATATATTAATTTTTAATTTTTGTTCTTTTGAAATTTTTAATGTTTTAATTTTTATTCAAAGGTGCAGCAAAGTAGAAACTGTTTCACCTGTACAACTGACACTCTCATTCTTGCAAATGAACGAATTAAGTATATAACAACTGATATACTCACCCTGAGCAATACGTGAGTAGCTATTTCAAGTACAATTATTCCTAGCTATTTAGCTATGCACTGACTGAATACATATATTTTACTTTTATTGTAGACTACTTTCTTCCATTTTGAATGACATCCGTGAACATATTGGCTATCTGTATGAAATGTGTGAAAGCATTGCTGAGGTAGACCTTGCATTATCGTTGAGCCAAATCAGCAGAAGCCATAACTATGTGAGGCCTAAATTTGGAGACAAACTCTGCCTTAAGGCATCTCGCCATCCAATTTTAGAGTCCATTGCTTCATGTGATCCCATTGCTAATGACATTGTAGGTATCTTGTTTGCCCCCACCTGTGCCAATGCAGGCATTTCACACTTAAACATTTCTCAAGCTTGTTATTTTTATTTTTTTCCGAACAGGAAGCCACAAGCTGGCAAAATATGTCTGTCATTACTGGTCCAAATATGAGTGGTAAAAGTATTTACATCAGACAAGTGTTACTTCTACAAATTATGGCTCAAGTAAGCTACTCAATTTTCTTACTCATTAAATTGGGTTTCATTTATTTTCAACTTCAACAATGTTTCCTCCTATATACTGTTCAGGTTGGGTGTTATGTCCCTGCTGAGGAAGCAACATTTCGCATCACAGATCGCATATTTTCTCATCTGAACTTTGATGACAGCATTGAAAATAATGCTTCAACCTTGGCTTTAGAAGTATAATTCCTGGCTTACTACTTTGTAGCCTCTTGTTTGTGTTTTTGGAGTCTAAATATTTTTTCCCATTGAAAATCATTGATGATTGTTTTTTTACTGTAATTATTCAGATGAAGGAAATGCAGCTTATTCTGTCAAGCATCACTGCTACTTCCTTGGTTGCTCTTGATGAGCTTTGCAGGGGAACTTCTGTTGAAGAGGGGACAGCAATAGCGTGGTCGCTGTGTGAGGAGCTCAGCCAATCAACAGCATTTGTTTTTGTCACAACTCATTTCAGAGAATTAACCAGGCTGTCATCTCTTTACCCTTCTATTAAAAAGTCAGTTGCAGTTTTACTTGTGCTCCATTTTGTTCTTACTGTGCATTAAACAAAGATTTTAATTTTCAGCATTTACTTGGAAACAGTCGAGCATGAGTTTTCTGACAAAAAGTGTCGACTTGTTTACACTCATCGATTGCTGCCTGGTGTTAATCCTGCAGAAAATTATGGTTTACGCCTTGCAGAAAATTTGGATGTACCGAAACCAGTTCTCGAGATGTCGAAAACTTTTGCATCACAGATTAGAAATACTTCCGAGGTGAATAAAATAATGTTTGCAAATTCTGTGGTAGCAGGACCACATCTTCAATTATGTGAAATCATTTTTCTTTTTATAGGCAAATCTTATATCTGACATAGGAGATGAGACTTACACTCTTGCAATGGCCCTTCACAAACTGAAAGTTCTCACCACTACTGATGGCTTGACTGTGGATGAATTAAAAACATTTCAGTTGAATGTGAGAAAAGAAATCAGAGAGGCACAACAACGAAAGCAAGATGTCATATTAAGTAAACAGATGGAACAACATGCTGTAGCAGAAGATATTCAATCTAACGTTGTAGCTCACCAACAAAATTTGTGTGGCTATTCAAGCTCCGAAGCTGGTCTTAGCCCAATTGTCTCCAAAGCATCAGAAAGAATGTTCCCTGAAAATCCAATTTCAGAAGCATCAGAAAGAATGTTCCTTGAAAACCCCATTCTAGAAGCATCAGAGAGAATGTTCCCTGAAAACCCTATTTCCGGTGGTAGTGACTATGGCAGTCCAAAAAGTCATGATAATGGTCGATGCCCCAGTCCTGAGGAAGAGACACCAAAATCAAGTCTCCCAGAAGATAACATTGACGCACATGATTCGACTCTGTGTTCCTCACCTACTCTTAATTTGACCGCAATAAGCACTCTTGACACCCCAAGGAGCGTCACCTCCTTCTGCTCGCAACACACTTGGCTGGCACAAACTCCAGACCAAAGCAGCAGATATTCCGAAAGTAAATGTCCCTCAAGCAGAAGGTCTCAAAGTTTCAGTGATGCCAGTGATTCAGGAAGTGATGAAAATTCATCCCTAAGCCATTTTAGATCTGAGTTGTCCATGTCAAACTCTATGATGAGTGTGTATGATGAAGACAAAGTGACAAATGGGCAGAGTTTCAATGCATTTTGTAAACCTCAGGACATCTCTCGTCAAAGTAAAGACAGGAGCACTGACTTCTTCAGCCAATCTACAGCCATCCTCAGCCAAAACTCAGTCGCATCAAATCCATTTCAATTCATAAATGAGCAGCAAAGTTTCCAAAGTCTGTTCAAGAGCACAGATACACCTCTGAAGAAGAGACTTCCAATATTTCCAGCCAGCTTCTTCATGTCACCAAGAATAAGTGAACATTTAAATGATGAAGGGCTATCATCCCCACCCATGGCCTCTAGGACTCCGCAAACAAATAATCCACAGAAAAGAACCAGTGCTGACTTTAACGCACCGAGTGAACAAGGCTACATTGACGAAGGGCCATCAACCCCATTCACGACCTCCAAGACTCCGCAAACAAGTAATCCACAGAAAAGAACCAGTGGTGACTTTTACTCACAGCGTGAACAAGGATGCATTGACAAAGGGCCATCAATCCACAAGACCCCTCAAACAAGTACTCCACAAAAAAGAGGCATTGGTGGCTTTTACTCACCAAGCGATCATGGTTACACCCACAAGACCCCTCAAACGAGTACTTCACAAAAAAGAGCCAGTGGTGGCCTTTACTCACCAAGTGATCATGGCTACATTGATGAGTCACCCGGTCATTCAAGCAATCCACGGAAAAGGGCCAGCAGTGATTCTTGCTCACCAATTAGTGGCAGTAAAAAGTCGCTACAAGTTTCAGCAGAAAAAAAGATCCACTCTAGCGGAAAGAATCTACTGGAACAAGCGCCGAAAGGAGGTTTCCATTCTCTCCAACTGGTTATGGATTCCTACTGCTCTTCGGGCTCAGATAGTGATTAGTTGTGTAGTATTTATATGAATTATTTAAATATATTATTTTATCAAATTTCAACATGTTTAACTATAATAAAATAATTTATGTTTAAGGGCTAGCTCCATAATCAAGCAAAGAGTCTCTTTTCTTTCTCCTTCTTTCTTTGAGTTCACAACGTAGTCATTGGAGAGAAGTGGCAGGCTAGCCGCTCTGTTCGCCTGGAGGGCAGGCAACCCATCTCACGGCCACGCGGTGCGGCACAGAATACCCTGCTGTTTCGGCAGGCGCTTACCCAGCACCTGGCCGCGATGTCGCTCCGGGCTGCACAGGCCACTGCCAAGAGGTCGAAGTAAGTGACCCAGTCAGTCAAAAGGGAACGGGAATATTGGCGACGGGGCAACGCGTCCAGTTGGACCAGCAGGATGGTTCCAAACAGTGCTGTGTCTCTCTCGCACTCAAAGGGCACTCGATAGGGGTGCAAGGGAGACAGAGTACTGTTGGAGTCGCACTGCTGCGGCTTCCTCCGTTTTTGCGTCCAGTTGCGTGGTTGTTGGTGCGGGCCGTGGCGCACAAGGCAGGCAGGCACTGGCAGGCACGTGCCGACAGGACGGGGAGGGGAGGGGGTAGTCTGGCGTACTTGTTTGTCAGTGAGGGGGGCGTCGCCACTCACCAAGCGTCACGGCGCTGCTCGGCCCGAGGCTCGGCCCGCCGCCGACGTCACTGTAAGTCAGGCGATTCCGCTTGCAACGAGCGGTGCGGTGGTAGTGGGGGCGTGGCTTTGTTTGTCAGTGCAAAAGGGTGCAACGGACCCCCGGGCCCGGCCCCCGGCCCGGCCCTGCCCCCGCAGTGCGACAGCGTGAGTGACAGGGCCCGGCCCGGCCGGACACTGCTGCCATTGTCCACCACACTGCGGGGCGTCCCGGCTGTCCCGGCCCGCATCTGTTTGTGGCCGTGGAAAGTCTCACATTACTATACGGAGCGAGCGCGAGCAACAAGGACGGAAAGCACCTCATCGCAGTCGCACCCCTCGTACCGGCATCCCCTGCGGCGAGGGTGCCGTGTTGGCGCCGGTGTGCATGGTGGCCTCCCCGGATCCGTAGGGCAGTTTTGAAACGATGCCTGCAATAAAATGGTCCAACTTCGTGCCCGGTGTTTGATGCCGCTTCCCTCCACGCACCCTGCTCGCCCTGCTCCAGACATGTGCACGGCTTCTGTCTGCAAAAGTCCATGACTGGGCATTCCCCCTCCCCGAAAGGTGCACCTGTTGCTAGGCGACGGTGGAGGGGGAGTCGCAGGCTAGCCAGCCTAGGCCTGGGCTCTAGCAGCGCGCTAGGCGGGCGCCTAGGCCACGTGCAACCGGGGCCAAGCCGGCCAGGCTAGACTAGCCAGTGTGTTGTTGCTGAGTGAGTCGTTTGAGCTTCGCTGTGTCGTGCTCGCGAAAACGAGCGCGTGAGTGTGTGTGTGTTTGTGTAAGGGTGGGAGTGGAGGGGGAAGGGGGGCGTTCTGGCGCGTGTAGAGGGCCAGGAAGTCGGAGCCGCTGACTCGCCGACTGTCCAGACTTTGACTAGATCACGCCGGGCCTCCGCGGAACCCACAACCAACCACTCGAGCGGTCTTCGGCTGGGACACTTGCCGTGTTTTCGGTGCCCCGTAGCAAAAAGTCGCGAGCCCGCGTTCCTGTCTGTGTGCGTGTGTCAGTGTGAGCGTGTTTGTCACTTTGCCTTGCCTTTGCCTGCTTTGCCGCCCACGGGACCAGCGGGTCGTCGAGCGACATGGTGAATCCGGATTTCCAAACCTCCCTGGTGAGTATCGTGTTTGCGTGTTGTTGGTACACCTGTCGCGGTGTCCGTGACCTTGCCTGCCTTGCCAACCTTGCTGGCGTAAAGGGAACTCGATTATCGAGAGCCCCGGGGGGGGGGGGATTTTGTTGTTCCCCCGGAAAGGTTCTTACGTATGAAAATTTCCATAATTGACTCGTCGAAACAGAGGCGACCCGAAGAAGCTCATAAATCGTGACAATCTTGTAATGAGCCGGTGATAGTGATAGTGCTTCCCGCGTGCGCAGTGTGCACACCGGCCGCAAAGGCTTTGTCTCTCTCGCAGCCCTACGAGACGGCCAATCGCTCGTAAGTGCGACTGAGTCAGCGTTGACACGGTCCGCTGCACGTCACTCGTCTCACGCGTTTCTTTGTCCGCGGCCGCTCCCTGCTTGCATCGATGAAACGAGAACCGCGTCGATTTCTTTCCCTCTCTGACGTCGTCCAGGCCGAAACTCTCGCAAGCAGACGACGCACAGGCACTGTGGCGGCCACGCGACACACAATCTCAATCGCGCGGCGCGAAGCACTTCGGAAACGTTCGGCAAGCTTCGGAAACAATGCGTTGACGTCACCGTGTCGAAACGGAGCGCGGACGCCGTGGACGCCGCGGACGGCAGTTGACGCGGTCGGCCTGGCGGCCTGCAGTCGTTCAAAGCCGCCCTGCAGCACGGCGTCCATCCCACTGGGGCCGCGACGACAGTGACGACAGCCACGCGAACACCGACGCCCCGTAGTGTAGCCACCCGGTGACACCGCCAATTCCCTCGGCCCCACACGAGTGTACACACTTTACGAGCCGGCCAGCTGCTCGCGCCCGAGACTAGACGACACTCCGCCGCCGCGTCACGGATTTTAGTCCTTTAGTTTCAGCTGTTGAACTAGAGCACCAAGAAACGGCGGCGACGGGCCGCGAACCGCGAACCCTGGCCACCGGGGCTGAAACGGAGGGACGCCTCTTATCAGGGGGCCTGGTGCCCGCTGGTGCCGTGATGGCCTTGACGCCGAGCGGCAGCGCTGCAGCAGCCTTCTTGAAAACACGGCCCGCGTTTCCGTCCCCGCGAGGCGTGGCGGGGAGTGCCGGGGCGGGTCAACACACGGACGAGGCACTAGCACCGGTGTGCGCCGAGAGCGCCCAGATACGCGGGGTGCGTCCGGAAGCAGCCTCTCTCTCTGTCGCCCTCGTTGGGATAGCTGGCGAGAGTGATAGAGACGGGCGACGAAAGGTTGCTGCGTTCGGAGGCACCCCGTCGAGACGGGAGATGGTTGGGATAGGCAGTCCCGCCGAACAACGGTGCTCGGCAGGCCGACGGAGTGCCTACCTTGCAGGCGTTCGCGCCTGCGGACCTGAGGTAGTCAGTCCCGCCGAACACCGGTGCTCGGCAGGCCGACGGAGTGCCTACCTTCCAGGCGTTCGCGCCAGCCACTCTGACAGAACGTCCACCTGCCTTGATCTGGTCTTCGGCAGGGGCTCCACCGATGAAAACAAATCGGGCCCTCAGTCTGTGCACGCCGTGCCTTGCCGCGCCGTGCCGTGCCGGCGGGTCAGGCGATGCGATACTCCGCCCCCCGATTGGTGGAAGATGATGACACGTTGGGCACCAACATGACGGCCGCGTTGCATCATGTGCGCCGGCAGGCCGGCAGCACGCCTGAGCGGCGGCGCGGCGGCATGGCGGTAGCATGGGGCTTTCTCCGCACGTGTTTTCGCTTTTCGGAATGATGCCATCCTGCACTGCAGGCAGGCCGATTCCGCCGCTCTGTCTCTCTCGCACTCGTGGAGCATCCCGCGAGAGGGACAGAGCGGAGCGCGCGGCCAGATCAGGCGAGCGCAATCAGGAGCCCTCGGCCAGATCTGCGCGGTCATGTCCACGCGCGCGGCCCCGGCCTGGCGGCTGTCGCGCTGGGCTTTGCGGAGTCAAGTCATCGTTGTTTTGATCGGCCAGACCAGGGCCCGGATCAGCCACAGCCAACCCGGTGGCCAGATCAGGCACCCTTATGGAGGGTGTCTTCAGCTCGCGCGGGGTTGACCATCCTGCCGCTCTCTAAAAATTGTAGTGAAGATTCTCCATATTATGGTGAAAATTCTGAAGATCATGGGGTGCAGCTGACCTCATCACATGCCATTGAAAATTCACTGCACCTTATAGATATTTTGACGAACTTCTATTGTATTGTAAAGAAAATCTTCTCCATAATATGGTGGTGCAGCCTTTCACCGTAAGACATTTAGAGTGGCACGATCCAACACAAAGGCCGAACAGGCGTCAAATGGGGCGTGGACTGTGTCGTTTTGGCGCGAAACCGAGCGACGCCGAGCGACGAGGGGCGGAGGGCGTTAAAGGTACTGCCTTCGCTTCTGCTGCCTTGACGCTGGTGCGCCCCGACAGCACCGCGTTGGGCAACGCTCTCTATCGCCACAAAGTACGAAATGAAAACACAATGCAGTGAATTACAAAAAAAAATGGACGGCTGACCCGAAGCGACCCTTCCTGCAATATGTTTGGTTTTTCTTTTGTTTCCTGTGTGGATGCTGACTGAAACTGTCATCAAAATTATTATTTTGGCTTTGTTGGCTTGGAGCGTTATCCCGCGCGAAAGGATCAGTAGTCAAACTGTATTTGAAACTGCAGTGGCTCATCTGCAGTTCCTTTCTGCAGTTCTTTTCTGCCCTTAAATTGCATTTAAAGTGCCATCAGTTCTGTATTGCTGGCTGCAGTCAATTTTGTGCTTTAAAGTGCACAGAAACTGTCCTTCAACTGCATTTTTGTTGCCAGATCCAACTGCAGTCTGCTTTGGCAGTCCAGAATGTAGTTCAAACGACAGTCAAAGTTCAAATTATTTCCAAATCCAAATGCCGTGACAAATATACTTCTAATTTGCTCTTTGCTTACACATGGAGAGTAAAAAAAAGTGCATGACATATGCATTCCCGGGGTCAATTGGGAATGCAGTCAAAAACTACAATTAAAGTTTATTGCTGTAGAAGTCAAAGAGTACTTCCAACTTCACCCTGAATGCCCTTTCACGTCACGGCCTTGGAATGATTCTAATGTTCTAAATTTCGCCGAGTGAAGCTCGGCACTGCTTCCAGATCAGCTTGTCTCGGCAAATGACGGGAAAATTCCTCGTGGAGTGGAGCGCGCCGAGCGCGGAGTGGCGGTAATCCCTCGTCTACCTGAGCGCGCGGGCATGGCCAGTGGCATCGCCCGCGCTGGCGCCAGACCCTCACACGTCTCCGTAGCGCAGTTGGCAGCGTTGCGGTCTGACAACCCTGAGGCCCGGGTTCGACTACTGACTGACAAACTTCAACGACTAAAAAAAAAAAAAAAAAGGGAGAGAGTGGGAGGGAGGGAGGCAACATAAGGCTGGAAATCAAAAATTTTGAATTTTTATGGCAAAACCGTATTTTTGTCAAAACTGTCGTGAACTGTCCGCAAAACTGCAGTTGAAACTGAAAAGGTCCTAAAAAACTACTAGTTTTTCGGCAGTTAGAGCACAGTTCAAGTACAGTTAAGTGTACTTAAACTGTATTTTAACCGTACTCGAACTGCAGCCGGTCATCTGCAGTTAGACTATGCCCGATGCATACTTCATTCTACACACAAAATAGCACATCTGTGAACACTTTCAGAACAATTGAGCCACACTACAACTACCCTCCTTGTTCACTTAAAAGCATAGTGGGACATCAGTTCCTGGGTACAATTCAGACTGCAGATTCTCCCGCGCGGGATTACACCAAGTATCGTTGCAGGGGGGCCGTTTCACGCCGTTGTTGTTGCTGTTTTTGTTTGTGGTGATGTTGCTGTTGTTGAGCGTGTGCGTGTCACGGGCAGAGATAAGTGTTGGTGACTTTGGTGACGTCGATTCGAGGTTCGTCTCGCTCCTTCCCGTTTCGACGCGTTTCTACGTCTGTCCCCTCGAATGGCGCCACCGACTCCCCGAGGCAAAACACTGCCGTTTCGTACATCATCGGCTTGACGCGCGCGACGCGATGTTTCTCTGTTTCGGCTTCGCACTAGCATCTTCGCACGGGCAGCGATAGCGCGCCAACAAACAACCCAGGAACTCCTCAGGTGACCGAAACTAAACAACAACCCGATGCTCATAACAAAGGCCGGCAGGCACGTGCCATGGAGTGTTCGGGGTTTTTAATCGCTCTCAAGAGCTTTGCTGTACCTCTTCGAGTCGCTATGTGCCTCAAAGCTATCTTTGTTGTTGTGGCCGGAAGCTGTGCTTACACTGTCGTGGATACGCAAACATAAAGTAACATCCAAACTAATTTGAACTGAAATACCATTGCTGATGCCCTGTGCTGAGATTGGACCGTAATTTTGGGCACAACATTTATATGATTTTCACTCCCTACTCATCGATTTTGTGGTGAAAACAGTTGGTCGCCCTCCTTGAGGACGAGGGGGCGTGGCAACGGTGTGCGTACAACGCCAGAGCAATGCCCCTCTCCTCTCTCTCTCTCTCTCTCTCTCTCCCCCCCCCCCCCTCCCTCCCTCCCTCTCCCACCTGACTGAGGGCTCGGGCCGGTAACTTTCCGAACGACGCCCCAGACTAGGCAGGTCTCCGGAGAATTTCCGAGCGATCAGACAGGCGAGCATGCCACGCTAAGGCCGATAACGGGGGCCGTAGCATTCCTCCTAATAAAGCTTTCCACGAAAATACAAAGAAATAAAAGCGTCTCTTTCGAGTTTGTGGGCAACGGAACAAAGTTGATGCGTGTCGCCGTCTCATCGTACGCACGAGGCGGAGGCAGCGAGGCGCGGCGTCTCACACAGAAGGCGGTCGTAGCCCGGTCAGAGCCCCGCGTCGCGCCGGCCCCGCGCCGACTGCCATGCCGCCTCGTTTTATTTCGTCGCTCTGTCTCTCTCGCACCCCTCCGGCCCACCCCTCCGGCCCTCCGGCGCGCCGCGTGCAGCCGCGTGCGGACGAGACGATCCCTCCGGATAGGTTCGCTTTTTGGCCGGCCC